GTCTATGACCTATGCATCCAGTTCAAGCGAACTGTCGTCGGTATCCTCAATATCTACCCACGAGGGTCACAATTCAACAATGGTCGCAAGTGGTGAGGGACCAAATATTAAGGCAAAGGAGTTTAATATATCGGCAGCAAAACCTGATCTCCCGTTGAAATATTCAAACCCTCTCACAGGTTGGAGAAATATCGCACCCGCTCCTCCATCCCCTGCAACCGCGCTGTCACCATCTACGGCCACCATTGCACCAGGTGCTACTATAGGAGCCATTTCTAGCACAGTGGGGTCTACAGTACCCATTGTGCCAACCCCCAAAGCAAGCCCCTCTAAACCAACATCACGGCGTCGTAGAACAACTGGAGGTGCGAAGCCACGAAATCCTCGAAAATCTGGGAGATACGGCGACCGTAATGATGACGGGGGGGTTATTAAAGCGGAGGATACAGACTCAGATGAGTCCTCCGATGCTCAGCTAACAACTACACAGACAAAATCAGGACGCCAGATCCACAGGCCAACTATGTTCACTCCGGAGCAAGTCCAGAAAAAATCCGTTAGTCCCGATACGAATCATCAGCAGCCTCCACGGAAACGGAGAAGAGTGTACCGCAAAGGCAAAGAAGTTAATGTGGTATGTCTCCGTTGTGATAGAGGACATAGTCCAAGATGTAATGCTATCGTGTTCTGTGACGATTGCAACGCACCTTGGCATCAATTTTGCCATGATCCGCCGATTGGAGATGATGTTATCTCCGTGAAGAACAAGGAGTGGTTTTGCAGGGAATGTCGACCTATCGATACGCCTCTTGGCCTAACTCTCAAGCCAAATGGGCAAATTCGCGAACAGAATGGTTTGCGCACGTCGATTTCACCGTCTATGCAAACAAGTGGGCCACAAACCCCTACATTACTTGCAGGATCTCAACTCAGTCGGGCAGAGAAACAGAGATACCTTTCCAGTTTATCTCATGCTGCTCTGGTCAATCTACTGGTCGATATATCAGATTCCAGACCAGATATCCCTATATTCCCTGCAAATCTGAATGAACTCAACACAGCATCTTTTAGCTCCAGCACGTCGACGATATCATCCTCGATCGTTTCAAACGGATTGGCTGGGGGTTCGCAACAATATAAGATATTGGGACAGGCCACAACGTCAACTCCACCGTCATTGAAACGGCCGTCTGAAAGCGTTCCCGCTAGCACGAGGAATGGTATCGGAGAGAATAGCGATGAAGAGGAAGTAGAAGAGCATCGTTTATATCCAAAACCAGGCAACGGGTTCCGACTTCCTCCTGATTCTGAAGATATTGACATGCTTCTCGAGGACCCGTCTAGCACCACTTTCAGTCATGCACTTCATGGGCCGGCTAAGGCGATGGTGGAAACTAATCACATGCAAATCGTTGGTGGGATAGCTTAGTTGTTTTTGGCTTGTCCTTTACTTGGCCATGTCTTCCAGACGTCAGGAGGCCGTTTGGTGGTGTCAGGAGGTGGTCCGGTGGGAGAGTAGGGGGCTGGGTAAGTGGAATCGATGACTTGCCGCTTGCAAGTGTACCTTGTATTTTATCTTAGCATTATTCTACCATGGTAGATGTCAGGCAGTAGACTTGAGTTATGAGTGATATGATACTTATGCATATATTTTACCGATGGTACAAGGGAAGGCGTAATATTATACAATCAGATTTGAATTAGCTTTAAAGCAAGGATCAATCACGACCACTTGAGCTGCCTAGTGGCCCTATGGTAGGCACAGATCACACACAAAAAAGCGGAACGCAAGAGGTATAAGCATTAAAACACATGAACATTAAATTTAGCGAGGAGCTGCTATCTGATAAAGGGAACGACAGTAGGGTATCATAGTAACGCGTAAAGGGTCTTCACCGAGTATTCCCCACGGAAAACAGGGCTATTTGTGGATAGGTATGGCTAATGTGCCTTCATCCAGGTAATTCAAATGTTCTCCACGACATGAGCGTTCATGGCAGTCTGGAAACCGTCGTTTCCGTCCTGTTCAAAAGGGTTCTCGTGACGGCGGCTGGGCCCTTCTCCAGTCTCATTCGCAAGGGCGGCTTGCATGGCGGCCTGGTTGTTGGCAGCAGGGAGGAAAATAACTTTGGAGTTCGACTGAGCGGTAAAAATTAGTAACTATTAGCAACAATGTGTTGAGGTAAAATGATATACTTACGCTCTTGGCCATTGCCTGCATAGTATCGAGATATCGGATCTGCATTGCTGGGGCAGAAGACAAAATATCGGCTGCAGCTCTCATAAGCTATTTGACAAATCACTTGTTAGCGTTCTCATCTTGCCTAGGTGAGAATTTGTGAATAGCGCATACCTTGGCAGCCTCAACTTCTGCACGCGCAGCAATAATTTTACTTTCACCAATTCTCTTGGACTGAGCAGCCATCGACAGGGACTCCTGAAGTTCATTGCTGAAGATGATGTCTTTGATCAACATGGACTCAACCTGGACACCCCATCCACCAGCAACACCTTCAATGATTTCTCCGATAGACTGGGCTAATTCTTCGCGACGTTCAATAACGTCTTGCAACACACGGGCACCGACGACATGGCGCAGAGTAGTTTGAGTTCTCTCAACCAATGCCTGACGGATATCAGTAATACCAAAAGCAGCCTTATGTGGAGAGACAATTTGATAGTAGATGACAGAAGTCAAGTGGAGGGTAACGTTATCCTTGGTCATGCAGACTTGACGCGGCACCTCAACGATTTGGATCTTGACATCAATAGTTGTCAGGTTCTCGCTGAGAGGGTTGACCTTTACGAGGCCAGGATCAACTGCACGCTCAAAACGACCAAATTTGGTCACCAGCCCGACTTGACCCTGGTTAACGGGCGTAAAAGGATTAGGGCAGCAGATACAGCAGGGTATGGCTCCCAAGGTACCAATGATCTCTCCCAGCCCATGAACTACATGATGAGTTAGTATGAGCTTAAGATACAATTTTGCTATCCATGTGTCTACTTACTGAAGCCAGAGTACCAGCTATGAGCAGCAGGATTTTCTTCATCGGGCAGAAGTACCTGCGCATATCTAGGCTGCAAGTCATCTAGACGAGCGGGCTGGACACTAATGAGGTCATGGTGAGGGCGAAAGCCGACGCCAGAGGCTTCAGGGCCAGCTTCTTGCTGTTGATGCTGGGGTTCGGGCGCGGCCTCTGGGGCCTTCCCATTCGGCACGGTCTGCGTATGTTGTGCGGTAGCTTCAGACATTGTAGAGATACTTTGATGAATCGTATGGACGTATGTTAGATGACTTAACAATAGGTATGTTGCGAGATATGTTGATGGTGAATACGGCTGTACTGCTGCTAGGATGCATCTCCTCTTTATGTAGTTCTGATCATGTAATAAGCCGGAGCTGCGAAGGCTAACTTTGCACGTGACGGACTTTAACTTGCGCCCCGCTTTAATCCGCCTAACTCGGCTTGGCATGATTATGTAAATTAAACCGCAGCATCAGCCCCAAAAGAGGAAGTTATCCAGAACATTTTGCATCCAGGAGAAAAACGCCGATTAGCCGGTCCATCGTATAGAAGCAGGCAGTGCAGTTGTTTTGAGTCCTTCACCAGCGCCCGATGACCCCCCCAGGATCCAGTAGCGTGAGATGGCCAGGTTCTCCACCTGGCGACCACAGCGAAGGGATTGTCCTTCGTTCCGCCAACCTCGCTTCCAAAGGGACTATGGGATGGCGAGGGGCTGAGCAATCGAAACGCCTTGGATAGGAACTAACTATCCATGTTAAATGCCGAGAAATAAAAGGGCGCTCTCTTGCAACTTTCTTGAGTACCCACGATAGAAAAGGTCCAACTAACATACAGCCACTTGATGAGACGAGAAGCTGGCGATATTCAAGAATCTCATAGGGTGTGCAACCGTCAACATCTTGGTCTACGAGACCTTGTCTAACCTAAATATAGGAGATGTTTCGTATACGCTGTGAAGCTGACATGATCGACACACTGCTGGATTTGATCAGACAGAACTGTGACATCCTTTGCCTTCTCTGTCCTCTGACAATCATCCTTCAAGCCATGTTGATATACACAGCCTGAGCTTCAGTCCACTCCTCCTTACCTAACACATCCAAGGGCCAAGCCTTATATCACGTGAGCAACGGCGGCTGAAAACAAGCTTAGCCGCAAAGCCAAGCGAGAAGGGTAGCTGAGTGTTATTCCATGATTCCATCTCCCGCCTCAAACAGACGTTAGGAGGGCCTAAAGGGATTTGAAAGGCGAGGCTTTTCGGGCGATGGTGGTATCCACTGACCATAGCCCCTGTTTCGGGAAAAAAACAGGGCATGTTTTAGCAGTTTTCTTGATGATGCGGGATTCCAGCGTAAGCCCGAGATGATGCCTGCTCCCTATTTCACACTCGAGTTGCGCCCTTTGGCAGCTCGGGTAGTTGGGGAGATAGCCTGTAGGAGGCTTCATTAATATATGAGGAGATCGAACTCGGTGAACGTGGCTAAGTATGACTTGACACAGCTCATATTCATGGAAAATAAAACAGGAGAGCCCAAGCGTCTCGGGTGGAGCCACGCACATGCAAGATAGGTGGCGATGTATACGTTTGTTTTGAAAGCAGTGGAAGGGCAGAGGACAGATATACTGTTCATCAAGCAGAGAATTGTGAACATCACACGTACAGTTCGGACGGGATAGTAGTTTTAATCAGACGAGAGAATATGAGAAACTCGATTGAGTATGATTCACTGTGGCTAATAAGGAGAGGAGGATAGGAATTATTATACAGAAAGAGTAAGTTCTGTATATAAACACACAAAGGAAAGATAAAAGAGCAGAAATCAAAGCAACTTTTCCCAGCCAAACGAATTGAAAGAGATCAAAAGGGTAGAAGAGAGTCATCAAACACTTAGACTAAGCAAACGCGTGCTCGTCTAATGGGATATCTTAGGGTATGAAACGAGTGCTGAAACTTTAGGAGAAGAAACCAATTTAGCTGGAAGCTTTAGCGGCGCCATTGCCATTCTCTTGTGCCTTCTGCTGGTGTGGGATAATCAAGTTGCTCAGCCAGAGCAGGTACTGAGATGTGACCATCAACCCAGTAGAGACGGCAGCCTTGCCTTGGGACACAATTGGGCTGCCACCCTGAGCGAGCTTGTACTCTGAGTCGTAGGTTGATCGAACGTATTTGGTGCCATCTTCAGCCACGCGGAAATAGCTCTGAACGGTTCCCCTGACGTCCTCGGTTGCCTTGACAAGCTTTGGGTAAGTGTTGTCAACCTGGTTCAGGCCCTCGTTGCCCAAGTGGTCTACCTTCTCGACATATGGAGCCACGTAGCCGTATGGCTTAGCAAGGTAAGGGAAGTATGGCTGGAGTTGGGCGATGCTCTTGTCGGCATACTCGATGGACTTTTGGCCGTAGGGGGATTTCTTGAGAGTCTCGAGATAGTCGGCGATGAATGGGTAGGAGATAAGATGCTATCTGAGGGTCAGCTATACTTTTTCCACTATCATTGCATTACTTTCTTCGATGACTTACGGAGAGGAATTGGGAGGAGGGCTTGGTGCCGTTGGTGTTTGGTTGTTCGCCCATTTTGGATGATGGTTAGGTAGTTGGAGCTGCTAGGGGTAGGTTAGCAGGTATATATAGAGAGACAAACAGACAAAGCAACACATACCTTGACACTTGAGATTGGAGAATACAGATAAGAGGTGAGACGAGTTATCAGCTTGGAGAAATGAAGATGACTGTGATGTTTGTGGGATGTGTACACGAAAGTGGACAGCAAGGAAGAGGGAGGGAGGCTTTATATTTATCAGGCTCTCGAGCATCGACTCACAAAGCACATCTGCTTCATAGCACGCTTGCAAGCAGCGAATCAACCGCAAGAAACGCCAGAAGTGCTCTCTGCCTGTTTTCTTACTCTTCTGTGCTCTTCTAGATGCGTACTTTCACATGTGAAAGTGGCCAGGTACCTTAGCTGTGGCCATACCACGCAGGTATCTATACAACCCGTTGCGCCGGAGCCGCGCAGCACACGCAAGTACCAGTACAAAATCCCAGCCATCTCGCCAAGCGGAGACTTCTGGCATGTGAAAGTGCGATATTTTCTCATAGTTATCTTATCAATGATAAAAACAACCAAGCATGGAGCACACAGCGGGAGACAAGAGGGAGATTGAGAGGAAGTCCGGTCGCCACTCCAGGGACCGACCGAACGAGGCGAATTACAGCCTGGCTGCCCCTTCACAAGGTAGTAGTTCACTCATAGCCGCTCGTCGCCATTTCTTCGCATCAGGAGATGTCCGGGAACGTGTGGATGGGACAAAAACGCAGCCGGATGAGTCTATCGTGTTTTAAGGGGATCCGGGCCGCCTGGTGTTGGGTGATAACAGGCGGCTAGCACGCTATTTTGATTTCTGATAGGCGGTTTGCAGGCAGCAGCTTTAGTTAACTAGTTACCTGTGCTAGGGATCGACTGTGCATAAATGAAGCATTGGACACAGCACGGCGCACGAAGTGCGAATAACTACATGGCAGTCACATATAATCAAGCTACTAGACCGCCGGATCCGCTAGGGATACGCTGGCCTGTCTCATTTTCATCCTTCGTGAGTGGAGAGGGCGACGGAAGCTTGTAATAATAGATGTCAAGCTATGTTAAGGGATGACTACTTGCCTGCAGCATACAGGTCCGATTGGACCTGCCGGGCTTGTTCCTTATCCTCCTATATTTTCCGAGTTGCATCTGGAAGATAGGCCATGAAACGCTGGATGCATGGATTCTGGTGTCTCTTTTCCCTCTTAAATCTCGCCCTTTTTGACCCTGGTTCGGGCCGTTATCTTCGGTAGCCCCGTCCTGTCAGACCGTAATGATAGCTTGCTCTTTTATCATCTCTGGGCGATAAGATGTGTAGATACAGTTAGCTACACGGGATAGCTCTATGAACGGTGACGTGAGGCTAAATATCTTAGCTATCAGCTCGGATGCAGCCGAGATGGAGCCATCTTTAGGAGCAAAAAAGACTTCGAAGCCTCGCAGTCTTTTCTATTAGCATGTGAAGAGATGATATGCAAACTCTGGGGCTTGGTAGACTTGTTCTATACATAGACGGGTGATCGGCTTGTGATATTTTCTACATGATTCAGGCCGTCTCCTCGATTTAAGGCAGTGGTGGCACCACATTGCATGTGACTGTCCTTACGATGAGATTCTGGGGTCTCTCTCTTTCTCCCTTACATATTCAATAAAAAGAGCATATATATATGGGGGCCAAACGGAGTATTTCTCAAGTGTCATTGGTATTGTTTTGTTTTTACTAGAAGACAACCGACATCTATCAGTGATAGATCGTCTGCTCTGCATTGGATGTCCATTTTAACTTGGTATCTATGCATGAGACGAGAAATAGCATTCATCATAAACTAGAACCGTCCTAGCTCAGGAAGAGGGAAGATGCTGGGGAGATAAAGTGACAAAAAGGGGCCATTAAACGTTTTATTTAGAATCCTACATGGGCTTGGTTAGTATACCTGTTCTCTATGCGGTCCGTAGGATTCAAGAAACATACTTAGAGGGGTGAAGAACCATCGGTTCTTTCCGCTGGTGTATCGCTCCTCCAAAGCCTTCTTGATGGTCTTCTTGGCCTCCTCCCGCTGAGAAACTTCCTTGAAGGTATCGTTGGTAACGGTGCCCTTGAGGCCCTCAAGCTCGAGAGTGTAACGGGTTGGCATGAGGTGGTTGTAGTTGACAGTCTTGATGAATGGCTTAACCTTGCTCCTCTTCTCGACCTTCTTGGTGCCCATTCGTCGGGTGATCTTTGATGGGTATCTCTCGATGCCGACAACGAGGGCGTAAGGGAATGGATGGGCTTTGGAGCCGGCGTCGTATGGCTGAATTATGACGACCTATCGTTGAACACAGTCGTCAGTTGGACTACTCTTATTGAATCATTCTGTGCGGTTGTTGCGCAGGCTAAATATTTGTCCTCCTCTTCCTCGATGTCGATGACGATTTAAAAATCCGTGGACACAATAAGCACCGTAGGCTACCCGGTTGTATATCGATATCTCTGTTTTGATGTTGGCGTTGCAACTTTTTGAGACGAATTTTCGATCGTGTGCCTGGCTGCTCTCTATCGCAAATCCAACCACGAAAACCACCATTGCTGTCCAAGATCTTGCTTCGCGCGAATAGCCCAGTAGACAAACTGAAGGTGAAAAGGGAACACTCATCGTCGTACCTTCTTTCCGGCAAATCGGCCTCTGGTGATGATGGCCACACGGCCCACTTTCATGACTGTTTCGCACACATTGTCAGCGTTATTCCAGGGATAAAAAGCTCGTCAATGAGTACTGCGGTAGATCGAAAGGACGTCAGCGTAACGTACACTTCATTTTCCAGGAGTTCCGACGAACGTGGGCTTGTCGAGAAAAAAAGTGGTTGTCGAGAGAGTTGGTGATGTCGGTCTTCGTCTTCGTCCTTTTTTTTTTTCGATGAACAAGTTCGACTTTGGTGCGATGTTTGTTCTCGTTGTGTGCGGTCTCGTGATTGGCCCGCTTACCGGAAGCGCCACTAGTTCTAAAATGGCATGTTTATCCGCGCTCGGATTAACCTCGATGGACGCTTACCACTTTAGGCTTAGCGCAATGGCATGCCAAGCGCTGCCGCTCCGGTAACCGCGAGGATCCTTGTTTGTTTACCTTCCTGTTGTCGACGGCAACAGCTGTTTTCCAACCTTTGGCGCCCTGAAGAAAAGCGACACCTCCACCTGTCTTTTGTGCAAGGTTGTTTCGTCTTCTTCCTTCTTCCTACTTCCCATATCACCCTACATACGGAGGGCTTCTGGTGTCTCGGGCACAGTATTCGACTTGTCTGGACAGACGAATAACTCTTCCCATTATCACCTGCTGCGATTCTGCTTTGCTTACGATACCCTGTTTTGCTCTTCTGTCAGTTGTCTAGGTTGACGAGTTATGGTATACTGAGTGCCATAATTATACCCGAGATAGCCTTTTGTTTATTTTGTTTCCCTTGAACGAACGTTACGAATTTAAGTGTTTACGATCCATCATGCAACCAAACGATAAGGAAGAGAATCGAGACCGAGAGCTGGTCCTCAGACATCATCACACTCCCTCTGAGTCCCGGAGCCTAATTCCAATGTATGTCATCATATTTCAATGGTCCTGTCACTTTGACGAGAAGATAATATGATTGCTAACTGCGCATTGTGAACTGTAGGTGGGATAGTGCGGACCCGAAAAGAGCTCCTCCTCCCCTACCTCTCAACCCAGGTGGCCCTAATAGCCCCGTTACTCGATCAAATGCATCGGCTACAGTACAAGCAGCAGCTGCTGCACTCGCGGAAAAAAGCCAGGAAACAACTCCGAGCTCATATACCGTCAATCCTATGCCATTGAAGCCCACGTCCCCAGAAAAGTCTTTAATAAAGGGACAATATCATAAACGGATGCAGTCACTGCAGAATGCGACAAATAACAACGAATTTGCGTCTTACCTTGAGCGCCGCTCCTCTCCTGAGAAATATAGACGCAATAGTGTGTTTGATCGGGATGACAGAAGTGCTGACACGACCCCTACTCGAGGAGGAGCAGCTGATACCACTACTCCAAATCATGATTCGCCAACGCAGGCGCGAATTTCGAATCGGTACCTTAACAAGCCTATTCTCGGAGAAAATACACCCCCATCTGCTACGATGCTGGCATTGCGCGATATGCAGATTCCAATGGACTTGGCCATGCCCGCCGAGACCCCAAGCAAACCCGAGAAACCGACAAAAATGCCGGAAAGTTTTGATGCTCTATCAGCTCAGATTGTCAGCCTGACTAAAATTGCTACGTCCCTGCAGCAAGAAATGAGTCAATTGAGTCGCCGAAGTAAAGACAATGCCACAGACTTAATTAGCCTCAAAGCTGCAACAAACGCCAGGGATGAAGATATCCGAAAGAGCCTCAAAGATCTAACTGCCAATCTTTCTTCCAAAATCTTCGACCCAGACCCACACACAACTACTCCCCGAGGAACTCCTTATATACACCCTGCAACTGGAGGCTTTATGCTTGGTGACAGTAAACCCCATGAATCATCTCCAAGCTCACGCAAAAGTTTCTCAGGTGCTAGAATGTCGAGCCCGGGTAGCTTTGCAGCAGCTTTGGAAAGAGATCTCGCAGCCTCCCCAGGCCCTATCTCTGACGGCTCTGCGAGCATCGCGCTCTTAGAGAAGGTGTTACGGGAAATGGCTACAAAGGAAGGGCAGGAGAAACTCTTGACACTTATGGAGGATGTACAAGCCCGTCCCACCGAAAAAGACAATACCATGACTATGATGCTTTCGGAGATCCTCAATCTTGTGAAGGAGAACTCCGGAAGCCGGGCATTGGTCCGTTCAAGAGGGGATATGGGAAACCAACTCTTCGGTGACAAACCTCAGACCCCTGATTTTGGTCAAGGCACTCGATCCGGTCCAATGGGCTTGAGCGCATCCCCAACTCCAATTCGCAGCAACTCCGATTCCAACATCAATGCATCCTTACAGCCATCTAATCCTTTGGCGGATGATTTGATGGCTATGCTTAAGCGTGTCAAGCAGAGCGTTACGGAAGGCGGTGGCATAACTAGTGAAGTCAAAGCACTTGTTCGCGAACTCCGTGGTGAGGTATTAGGCATGGGCCGAGACATTGCACGTAAACTTGAAGAGGCCCAGAAAACCAAGTCAATCGATAGTCAGGTGCCTTCAGGGCCTGGAAAGGAAGAAATTGAGCAAATTGTCACTGGTGCTTTGGTTGATTTACGACAACAGATGGACCATATTATCGAAGAGAATGCGCGAAACACTGCATCTACAGCTATAACACGTCCAATTCCTGATAGCCAAGAGATATATGCTGTGGTTAAAAGGGCTCTTCATGAAATCCCTCTTCCTCAGCCACAACTTCCTCCTCCCCAAGACCTTGAGCCCGGCCTCCAAAGAGACGAAATTCTGGAGACTGTCAGGGAAGCCTGGGAAACATATAAGCCAGAGATTGAGCTTCAGAATTTCGGACTTGAAAGAGACGAGATCCTAGAATGCCTGTCTGAAGGATTGAAAGGGTACCAACCACAAGAAGAACCCATTGATCCAGATGTAGTCTATCAACAGGTTCTCGATGCTGTTCATACCGAGTTACAGAGTTTTGAACCTCCTCGGATTGAGCCTGACATTTCGAGCATCCGCGAGGCTGTTGTTAGTGCGGTTCAGGAGTCACTGAAAGGCATCGAGTGGCCAGCTCCACAGGCGGTTGAGAAGGAGGACACTCTTAAACGAGACGATGTGTTGAGTGCAGTTCAGGAGGGCCTCACATCCCAGGAGACTTTGAAGCGTGATGATGTCTTTGCAGCTGTACAAGAAGGGCTATCCCACCAGGAGATACTCAAACGAGACGACGTCGTTAGTGCCATGCAAGAAGGATTTGCTTTCCAGGAGCCACTCAAGAAAGACGATGTTTTCGGTGCTGTCCAGGAAGGTTTGTCATCTTTACCAGAACCTCTCAAAAAGGAAGATGTTTTGAGTGCACTACAAGAAGTGCTCGCGAATCAGGAGCCCATCAAAAAGGATGATGTATTGAGTGCTGTTGTGGAGGGATTGGCCGCCCAAGAACCGATTAAACGTGATGATATCTTAAGCGCCGTTCAAGAAGGGCTTGCGAATCAAGAGGTGCAACCGAGAGAAATCGAAATTAATCGTGATGATATATTCGATGCACTGAGACTCAGTCTTGAGGATGCATCTGGGGCACTGACTAGCAACCTCGGCGAACAGCTCATTGAACACCTGCATGGCATGATCCTAGAGATGAAGGATGAATTCAAGGAGTATTCCGCTGCAAATGGCAGAGACACAGAGCAAGTTCTTGATGCAACTAAAGATGGACTTGAGGTTCTTCGTGGCCAAATCGAATCCTACATTGACCGTACGGCAGGAGCGAATGGCAAGGATGAAATTATTGATACTGTCAAGGACGGATTCCGCCTGCTTCAATCTGACGTTGAAAAATGTATAAGGGAATCGACTGAGCGGAACCCTTCTGATACCGTGGAACTACTGGATGCCATGGAAAAAGAGTTCGAACACCTTCGTCAGACACTAAGCAGTTTGCTTATTCGATCAAATACCACGTCTGATAAGGATGAGATCCTGGATGCTATCCGAGAGATCAGCGACAGTGATGCCCTGAAGAAAAACACTAGTAATTCGGAGGATAAGGACGAAATCCTCAATGCAATTCGGGGAATCAGCGAGAGTGAATCGTTTAAGAACAGTCACTCAGAACTTGCCGATACCATAAAGCAGGAGCTTGAGCACTTGCGTCAAACTATTTCCATGGCCATAGTCAAACCTGAATCTTCACTTGACAAGGATGAACTCCTTTCTGCCTTCAAAGAGCACCTCCAAGCGGCATTTGAAGAGCACCATGAACGCAAGGATGGGAATGAAAGCATCATATCAAACACCAATGAGCTTCTCGATGCTTTCCATGATGGGGTAGAACAATTGCGAGCCGAAATGGACAAGCTTCACGACAAACCAATTGAACCCAGCGTTGATAAGGAGCTGCTGGAGAACCTTCGCGATGAAGTTGCTGGGCTCAAGGCAGGCATGGATCGCCTAATTGAGTCCCAGAAGGAGGCAGAAGAAGCAAATACTGCAAGAGGAGGAGAGATCATGCTTGCGGGCGATGCTTCCATCGGAGGCGACATCGATGGCCTGAAAGCCCTCGTCACCCAGCTTCAAACAAAGGTAGAAGCTATCGAGGTCAATCCGGTCGTTCCTGAAAGAGGTGAAGACCCAGACATGGTAAAGAAGAATGACTTGGCTGAAGTTCTCAATGCCATAAAGGAAGTGCACGGATCTGTGAACGAAGTCGCCGCCAGCAGCAATGCGGCTCGGGAGGCCCCAGAAAAGGAGGTCGACCCAGATGCCGTAAAGAAAGACGACCTTACCAAAGTTCTCGATGCTATTAAGGAAGTGCATGGTTCAGTCAATGAAGTGGCCGCTAACAATAGCGCAACCCGCGAAGCACCAGCAGAAAACGTGTCATCGGCTAGTAAAGAAGAAATTGAAGCTCTCCAGACCCTCTTGCAGGGAATGAAGACTCAATTGGATGAAATTACCCCTTCCACGAGTGCAACCTGGGTTACAGCCGAAAAAGTGGAAGCATTGGAAACATTGGCCAAGGAGACTAAGGAGACAATGAGTGTGTTTGCTACTCATATCGATATTGAAGGGCCAACCAAGGAGGATATCAAGAATCTGGAGGGCATCATGAAGGATGTCTGGGTTGTCGTCGAAGAAATCAAGACAGCACAGAACCCTGAAAAGGAGGAACCCAAGGAGGACCCCGAAAAGGTAGTGAAGGGAGATGTAAAGAACCTTGAGACCCTTCTATTTGAGCTGAAGGCCCAGATTGAGGAACTTGTTCTGCCGGATGTCAACACCTTACCTACGAAAGAGGAGATCACCAACCTTGCTAATACCGTCAATGAATTTAAGGAGAAGATGGATGCCGAAAACGAGCTTACGGCCCAGGCATTCGAAGCACGAAAGGTGGAACATGGTGGCCTAGCAGAGAAAATCGAGGAGGCAAAGCTGTTTATTGTTGATTTCCGGGAAGATTTCAAAACCAAGCTCACTGAAAGTGATGGAACGCTAGGTGATATAAAGACGATCCTCGAATGTCTTAATGATTCTGCTGAGTCATTCGCGAAAGCTGATACCATAAAGGAGCTTTCTGAGCTCGTGAAACGCGAATCCGAACGATCACATGGAGATCATGAGGCTACGAAGGTTGAAGCAGCTGAAAGAGGTACAGCCTTGCTGGAAAAGATCGAGGAGCATCGAAATGGCCTGAAGGCAGATATTGAGGCCGAGATCGACAAGAAATTCCAAGAGGTCATTACCAAATATGAAGATGCGCAGCTCCTCGTGGACTCCAAATTTACTGCCGCTGAAGAGCGAGATGCCCAAGGCCTTGAAGCGCTGACGAGTACTAAAGCCGTCGCTGAAGACCTTAAACTCGTTATTGGAGGAATGGGCCAGAGCTTAACAGAAACATGCGATAAAATAAACGACGACGCAAAAACGTTCTTTGGCAGAGTTGATGAGTCTTTTGAGAGGTTTGACCACTTGCACGAAGAAATGAAGTCGTTCACTGGGCGAGTTGATGAGTCCTTCGGCAAGATAGACAATGTACGAGAGGACATGAAAGCCTTTACTCAACGGGTTGATGACTCTTTTGGCAAGGTAGACAACTTACATGAAGACATGAAAGCTTTCTCTGGACGAGTGGATGAATCTTTTGGCAAAGTTGACAACCTACATGAAGATGTGAAAGCCTTCTCTGGGCGGGTTGATGAATCTTTCGGCAAGGTGGATAACTTGCATGAGGACCTCAAGGCCTTCACCGGACGGGCTGATGAGTCCTTTGGCAAGGTCGACAACTTGCATGAGGATTTGAAGGCCTTCTCTGGCCGAGTCGATGAGTCTTTTGGAAAGGTAGACAACCTACACGAGGACGTGAAAGCCTTTTCTGGCAGAGTCGATGAATCCTTTGGGAAAGTAGACAACTTACATGAGGACGTCAAGACGTTCTTTGGCCGGGTTGACGAGTCTTTCGGCAAGGTTGACAAAATGCAGGAAGACGTTATGCTACAGAATGAGGATATGAAAGCCCAATTTGATAAAGCAGTTGCAGCTACCGACCGCATCGAAAGTCAGATTTCCCAAACACACCCTGAGCTCCTTAGCTCCATTAAGGAAATTCTCGCTGTTGTTGGCCAGCATTATGAGCATTCTCAACAATCCAGTAAAGACCTAAAGACGGATCTTTGCGCCCTGCCCAATTCCATCACACCACTTCTACCTGCCCTCCTCCCCCCTCCTCCAGAAGTTAAGGAACCTCAATTTGAAAAATACGATGATACCTTGATGCACGAAAAACTTGACACTATCATTTCCCATGCCTCTAACAAAGAGAGTTCCGATGCTCAAATGGAAAAGTTAAACGCCCTGCAGGAGCAACTCAATGCAACTGCCCGCGAAGTTAGTGAGATGATGGCATCCCACTCCAAGAAGACCATTCAGGATTACGAGGACAAGAAGGAAGAGGCCATGGAAGCAGCCCTTGCGCTCGAGAGACGGCTTGCCCAAAAAGAGAGCGTGGAAGCTGAGGTCTCTGCTCTCAAAGAGGAGAAAGAGAGGCTCCTTCAAAGCATTCGGGAGCTAAGGGAAGAAGAAAGCGAGCTTTCACGAAACAGAATCAAGCTGGCCAAGGAGGTGGCTGGAATGGAGACTGCTTTGCGCATCCGCCAAGAGGAAGTCCACTTAATGGAAGATCGTGCGGAAGACCTAGAGAGAAGAATTGTGGAGGGAGTGTTGGACCATGCTCGAAGTCAACTCGTAAGCCGTCACTCAGGGTCTGACCGCATGAGTCTCAAGCGTGTTCCAAGTACGGCCAGTACCACAAAGGGAGGTGGTATTCTTGGCAGTAGTGTTGGAATGGCTCTGAATCGACGCATGAACAAGCGAACAAATGGGTCTACGGTGCCAAACGGAAAAAATGAACGTCGTATTCTTAGTCTCAGCAACGTTTCTGGCAACCGTGGAAATCCGGACCGGGGCCCATATAGTGGCTCCCACAATGGCCTAGCCAGCCTGAAGCGCAGCCATTCAGTCAAGACGAGCCAAGGTTACCGACGACAGTCCTGTGATACCCGGCTCCTTGGTTCTAACAAGGAAAACGAATCCGTCCGCGAAGAAGAGGAGAGCATGAGCGAAGTCGAAAGTGACGCAGGAACTGAAAGAAGAACAAGCTACACAGGTACATATGCCGATAGCGTTTCTTATATCACAGGAAGCACAGTATCCCAAAATCGCAGTGCAAGTTACTGCTCTACTAACGTGGATGGTTCAGTTGCAGCAGGAAGTGAGTCGTGGCAAGAGCCCAGCGAATTGAGCCGAGTCACCAATGACGAACAGTCTGAGGTAGCTGACAGAGCGGAGACTGAGGAGCATAGCTCCAGTGAGCTCGAATCCGAAGAAAGCGAAGACGAGGAAGAAGATGACGAGGAAGAAGATGACGAGCCCACCTTGCATGCCCTAAAGGCAAAGGAAGGTGATATGGTGCTCTACCATCAAACCACCGATAGCGGTGTAGGTATGACGACCGATTAACTGTTCGTGAATCATTCTACCGTACGTGAATAATACTTATTGGCTGAATGCTTAATCCGCTGTGTGAGTCCTTGACGAGTTATGAGATGGTTTGAGGGTATCGGTTCTTGGGCGCTTTCTTGATGGAACATATATTTTCCTTTGTATCTGTTTTGTTTTCTCTCTTTTGCCTTTTTTTGTTATAGTTAATGATGTTCGGTTAGCAGCCTGCCCGCTTGTTATGAATTAGTTTATAATCTGTTACTTGTATTGCTTTCCTAGCAGAATTGTATGGAGTTGACGTACGAGTAGGCAGATGTCGTCTCGATTTCCTAATTCGGCTATGGCTACTCGTTCACGTGAATGCCGAATGCGTTGGGGTTCACGTGATAACTAGCCCTAAAATAGACTAGCGACCCCAACGGGCCAAGGCGGTAAGCCCACATTTGGTCATGCCGAGGCCGGCAGAAAACAAAAGTAGGCCCGCGCGGGCGCATGGTCCAACACGAGGCGCGGTCAGGCACGCGAGTCATCTTTCTTTTTTAACGACATCCCTCATGCTTGCACATCCTCCTGATCTCTGTATATATCATTACCTAAGAGCTGCCGGCAAGCAGGCCCTCTATAAAATATCACCTAAGGTACCCCCCCGGCTCCTACTGATCCGTAGCAGACAGAGAAGAGTGCTCCAAGGGCAGTAGGAAGCAAGGCGGATCCTCTGTTAAAACTAGCTGCTTTCATCCGAATATTCAACTTCCAGGTGCAGCTCTCTCAGCTACTATTATAGCTTTCTGCCAATATCGCCAACAGTAATGTTGGATCCGATACCGCCTCCTCCACGATGGCTTCAGGATCTGGTTACGCCGATCGCACAGCGTTGGTCCCTGCCGACGCTGCCATACCACATACATGAAGTCATCCTCTCGTTCGCCTTGTACCAGTTCATCCAGTCCATTGTCGCACCCAGGATCTCGACCTGGCTCTTCCCAAAGCTTTATCCTAATTTCTCTAAGCGCACGAAGCTCGGTTGGGATATCCATGTCGTCTCCCTCACGCAAAGTACCCTCATCTCCGTCTTGGCGCTGTGGGTGATACTTGTCGACGAGGAGAGGAAGAACATGACACCTGTTGAGCGAGTGTATGGGTATTCTGGAGCTTGTGGCTTGATTCAGGCCATGGCGACAGGCTATTTCCTGTGGGATCTAATCATCAGCGTTAGACATGTCAACGTCTTTGGCGTTGGCATGCTGTTCCATGCGATCAGTGCGGTATTGGTGTTCAGTTTAGGATACGTGAGTTGCTCCTCTCGTTAATCGCCGTTACTGTGCATCTCGAAATTCTTTCTTCTAATCTGGGATTTTCTAATATAAAATGATTAGAGGCCCTTTGTCAACTACTATGCGCCAACCTTCATCCTGTATGAGCTCTCAACTCCGTTCTTGAATTTCCACTGGTTCTTCGACAAACTTAATATGACTGGATCCCGTGCCCAGTGGTACAATGGAATGGCTCTCCTTTCGGTATTTTTCTCCTGCCGCCTTATCTGGGGCTCATGGAACTCCTTTACTGTATTCTCCGACATCTACAAGGCGTTTCATATATCCGACAGCTCCGTTCCACTTAGCAGTCCGGAGTTTTACTCCTTGGTGTTCAGCGCTCGCAACTCAACCATTTGTCTGGATGACAATTGTATAAAGGCAAATGCAGAAGTCTCTAAGTTTACAGACTTCTCCGCCGCCGGTATTCCACTCTGGCTTGCGCTCACTTACCTTGGCAGCAACACCGTTCTCAACTCCCTTAACTGGTACTGGTTCTCAAAGATGATTGATGCAGTTCTCAAGCGTTTCAGAGGCGAGGATTTGCCATCACCGGACAAGGTTGCTCCTCCTGAATCTATCGAAGGAGACGCGAACCCAATCATTCTTGAAGCTGCTTCCACCCTCGAAAAGGAAGAAGAAACTCTTATAACTGGAGCCTTAGACGCTGAGTCAAAGGCCTCCAACAATACTACACAATCAATCCCTATGAATGGCGGATCTGGCGCTCGAAGACGGAAGGCATAGATGGATAGATATCATTGATCTACTCATTTTCTTTTTCTCTATCCCAGCTTCCCTTGGTTGCATGATTCACGAATGCATCTTCCAATAGTTTCTCCTATTATGTCATAGCGTCGATTGGTTTGCATCATCCCCCTCTCTACCTGTATGCCTTAACTTTCACCTTCTTTCCTTGGTCCAGATGTGTTCCTTACTTGCATGAGATGAGTGACGAACGATTTGGTTGAGTCTGTAAATGATGTCTATGCATGGACTTATTCGCCTTTTCTACCCTTGCCTACAGTGCTGCTGATGCACGCTCTCACTTACTCCGGCCACCTTTACTCCCCCCATTTGCCAGCAAGAACTAATACTTATCCATATACTATGATTATTATCATGACGAATCAAAATATTAATAGCACTACTGAATCTTAGCTTACAGTTTAGGGATGGGATTGGAGTGCACGTCGAGGCTATTTGACGGTATTCTTCGTTTATTGGTAGGCCATTGAAAGGTATCGTAGAGAAGACGGGAGAAAAGTAAGGTTACAGACAGAAAACAATACAAAATATCATTACCTTGTTGCGCGAGGCGGCTTTGCGAGCATATATCTGACGGATTCTCTTGCAACAGCCGTATCCCATGCACTGCCTTCACCGCCACGCCTAAACTCCATACCTCTTTCACCTTGTCCAGGTCGTGGTGTTTCCCCAAGCACGGTCTCTAAATCTCGTTTCTGGCTGTTTATCCACCGTTTCATGAAGTTTGCTGGATCTTTGCTCATGGCAGTGTAGAAGGAATGTTTTGCCTTTGAGTGGTGCAGAGCCTGAATGGCGAGCGCTACCTGATCGTCAAGACTGGATACATGACGGAGCATTGTGGGGAAATCGGGTGAGTTAGTAAGAGAGATAAGTTTGGCGCGTAAAGGGTCGTCGATAGCGACACGGATATCGTAGACTGTGGGCTTTGGGTCCTTCTGGAACTCTGGGTCGACGCGGATGGTGTACGGAAGCTTAATCGGCTGAAGCGTTGCAGTGTGTGTTGAGGTGCTCTCAGGGATGGCAGGGAAATACATCTTCTCACAGCCAAAGATCTGAAAAGAAAACATCTTTATTAGTTTCTTACATTTGAATAGATAATAGCTTGAAGAGTTCCAACTTACAGCTCTCAGACGGTCATCGCATTGAATTGTGCGCTTTTCCTCATTTTCTTGGAGGCCCATTGCCTTAACATATTCCCATATTCCGGCCACGATTCCAGCGCGTGTATCATTTTCTACGTCAAGAATAGCGGCGAGCTCTCTACTCAGCTGAAATCGTTCAGGCGTCTCATCTCTAACGAGGTTAATGGTCACGTTCAGGTTAACTTCTGCTGCCCGGGAAAATTCAAGGGTATCGAAATCAGCACTAGGCGGCATCGTCGCAGCATTGACTGGTACATCAGGTTTATTCCAGGTTATTGTGGCCAAATCTGCGACCCCATTCTCGGTCGGTTTATCAAAGTCGATAGTTATCGACTTGAAAAATTGAGATAGTCTTTTTCGCTGCGGTATTGGTTTGCAGGACTTTGCGCTTGGTGTGTCCTGCTCCATTGCGCCAGGCTCACCCCCTTGGTTTTCAGTTTCTTCTTCTTCATCACTCTCATCTGGTGCAGTTGGATCGGCCTCGTCCAGCAGTCGCCCTTCGATTTTAACTCTGTATCGTCCGGCACCTAGCTTCGTACCCATCGCTCCCTCTGAATTGGAGGAATCCTGTTGTTGCCATGGTTGACTCTCGACCGTGTTGGATATCCATATTCTCATTGTCCTGTACCTCTTCGCATTTTTATTTATGGAATCGTAGATGTCAAGTCTCTTCCGAACCATAGACGCGTCCAGCCGTTTCTCAACCTCTCGAAGTCGTTTATAATGTTGCGCAACATCCCCAATCACAATATCTTCCACATTATCTGGTAGATTCTTATCCGTCGGCTTTCGACTGCGCCTTACGGCAGCTTCAGCTGGGTTCGCCGCATGTCGCTGGCCGAGCATCTGCTGGTTTGGCATTGCCTGCGGTGGGTGTTGCGGCATTGGCATACCTACTGGGTTCAGGTCAGAAATCTCTGGTAAGGGGAAAGTTGAATAGAACTGGCCCGAGTTGACACGAGAGCAAGGATTGTCATATTAATAAGAAGTATGTAAGACACTCACCAGGGACAGGACCGTGTCTGCGTGGCGTGGCTGGAGATCGGTAAGTGGCCTGTTGTGGATAGCCACGATAATTGGGCTGCTGCATGGGAGCATTCATCTTGGCGGTCAGTAAAGAATCGCCAATATAAACGACCTAGTAACGCCGGTCGCGACCAGTGGAAACGGGCAGGATTCGTTGAGATGTGTTGGCTGTGGTGGATGCTGGTAGGTAAACGAGCCGCGCATATCATGATGGAGCAAAAGTTGTAAGGATCACGAACACTTTCGTTCTTTTTTTTTCCTTTGGTCGCGTCACGTGGTGCAGCTCCTAGGTTATCTTCGGCGCATATAATAAGGGAAGCCCCTTGACTACAGCTTTACTACTACGAAATAGACGAGACAGGCCCTCGATGAGTATGTCGTGTCGACCGGTTGATTTCTCTATATGGATATGATGCTGCGCAGGGGCGAGGTAGCTAAAGGGGCTGGGATAACTTCAGGCTTGCAGAATTGTGCCACAGAAAAGGGGGAATAGTCACACCTCAATATCGGGCTTTCGAACACGAGTCTCTTCACGAAGCATAGAGTTACTCTAGCAGGGAAGCTTTGTTAGTGTACAACAGGTCAACAACTGTGCTGAGCCGATCAATAGTCTCTAGAGCAGCATCGTATCCTTTGTCTCTTTCTGCCTCGTCAAAGATGATCAAGCAGCCAGCGCCTTGGTCAAGAACACCGATTATGACTTTATCAAGAATCATTTGAGATAGCTTTTTCTCGACCTGCTGTGTGTCCAAACCCACTATCTTCGCAATATGGGCGATCTCTACCCTGCTGAATGGTTCAATGACCTTGATAAGATTCTGCTCCAACATAGCGTCGTATAGTCTTCGAAGGTGGTTTCGGACAAACACATCACCACCCAGCTCATATCGGTAGTCAGACAGAGCCTTTTCATACTCTTCCAAAGATCTGTTCGAGTGTGCACGTGCAACCGCTTTCATGGCCTCCAGGCTTGTGCCGGCGTATCGAATGGCGTGCTTCGAAGAGAGCAAAGTATTCACGTCGTTTCCCAAGTTCAACATTATTTTGCAAAGAAGCATATACTGAAGCGCAGATGTTGCCTTGCTAGCATCTTCCTGAGCATGGTAACCCTCAAGGGCTTCAATGAAGTAAGAGAACGCTGTGTTGAAATCCTTATCCTCCGCGTGTAGCATTCCGCTCTGCATATCTAGGCCGGCTTGTAGCAAGGGAGGGGTATAAACTGATGCTGCGGAAGTTCGAGCGGATGTCAACGCAGCACGCGCTTTCGGTTGGTTGCCAAGGGCATGATACACGCGCGACTCGAGTAGCTGGACTTCCACTAAGACAAGTTTATCATCCAAGCGCTTAAGCTCACGGAGAAGCGAGTTGATGAGGGTAAGAGCATCGTAATATGTCTGCTTCTGCATATATATCACAACAAGTCTGGTCTCAAGGTTTTGTCGAAGGAAGGATCGTCGTTCAGACACAGCCCATTCTATACACGACTTGATGACAGTAATCTGTATGTCAAGGGTGTTTGGGATATCGGCGAAATAATCAAGTAACTGGCGGACTGAGAGAATGAACCGTGTTAATTACGGATAGACTTTATTTATCGATCATGTAGTTAAAACGTACCCAGCTTGGCCGACTTCGCCTTTGCAAATGAAGAGAATGAAGACCTGCTAGTTTTCAAAAGCTCCGCCAGCTCCTTGGGCTTCTTCTGGTCACGATAAATCTTTCCCAGGCCCAATAAAGCAACTTCATAATCTCTGGAGGCAGCTTCGCTAGAACCAGGGCCTTCAGAAACAACCTCTTGGTATATCTTCTGGGCTTTAATAGGATTCGTCTTTGCTACCGCCTCTGCTTCCGCGAGCCGGCCGGCTTCACTGGGGGCTGGTGCCATTGTGAAGATATCGTCGTACAAAGCAGCTCGTTATCAAGGAATAAAATAGTCAGCAAGCTACGTCTGAGCACCGGTTTCTCGAATATCGTAGGCTAACACTTGGAATATGGGGTTTGGTTGATGCAAAGAGTTGCCGTCAGCGTGTTTTGCCCGAAAAAGGTGTCATTGGAAGCTAGGGCCATCGATACCTTGTGGAATATCATTTTGCCGTACTCCGCTTTAAGGTTTCATGGGCAATCAGTGTTGACGATAGCCAAAATAAAAAAAAAAATAAAAAAAAAAAGGTCGAAAAAAAGATATCGAAAAAGATGTACAGGTATCTGAGCTAACCCGTCACAATGGTAAGTTGAGCTCTACAAATATTATTCTGCTGGAAGATTACTTTAACTGACTCATCCTTTAGAAAATCAAAGCTCTTTCTCGGTCTGCTGCTGCGCAGCAGACTCCTGGTACCAATGTGCAAAGGGTACAGCGGAATATTGATCCATCCCAACACCCGTTTGAACGAGCTCGCGAATATACAAGAGGCCTTAATGCAGTAAAGATGGAGAGAATGTTTGCTTCCCCGTTTATTGCGCAGCTAGGAAATGGACATGTCGATGGGGTTTATAGCATGGCGAAGGATCCAATTTCCCTCGAACGGTTCGCCAGTGGGAGCGGGGATGGTGTTGTGAAGATCTGGGATTTGACCACACGAGATGAAATATGGCATGCACAAGCGCACGAAAATATTGTTAAAGGGATGTGCTGGACTTCCGATAGAAAACTCCTTTCGTGCGCCAGTGACAAGACCGTCAAACTTTTCGATCCATACAATACCCCCTCCGATTCTGCTCCGCTTGCAACATATCTTGGCCAAGGCGCGTTTACCAGCGTATCACACCATGAGACGCACCCATCATTTGCCGTAGCTTCATCCGTCATATCAATCTATGACCTTTCAAGGCCTTCATCTACCCCCTCAGAGACTCTTAGCTGGCCAACCAGTACAGATACCATTACGTCCCTAGCCTTCAACCGGACTGAGACATCCATTCTAGGCTCGACTGCTACTGACAGATCCATTGTGATGTATGACCTACGTACCTCATCACCTGTCTCCAAGGTGATATTGACTCTTGCGTCAAACGCCATATCTTGGAACCCCATGGAAGCATTCAACTTCGCTGTTGCAAATGAAGATCATAACGTATACATTTTCGATATGAGAAAGATGGACCGCGCTTTAAACGTTCTCAAAGATCATGTTGCTGCTGTTATGGATGTCGAATTCAGTCCAACTGGTGAAGAACTGGTATCTGCATCTTATGATCGTACTATCAGACTCTGGAACCGGGAGAAAGGACACTCAAGGGATGTTTACCATACAAAGCGAATGCAAAGGTAAGAACAACCTGAAAGGAGTTCAATTCCATTCTCTTTTCCTTCCCCCCCCTTTTTTTCTCCATGGAGTGCTAAGTCTTCTTCTTTTACAGAGTGTTCTCGGCAAAATTCACCCCAGACAATAACTATGTTTTATCTGGATCTGATGATGGTAATATACGACTCTGGAGGTCAAATGCTTCCTCCAGAGGTGGTATTAAGAGTGCCAAAGAACGCCAAAAACTGCAGTATGATGAAGCCCTGAAACGCCGGTATGCTCATATGCCTGAAATCCGCCGTATCAAACGGCATCGACACCTGCCCAAAGCTATAAAGAAAGCCGGTGAAATTAAGGGAGAAGAGATAAAGGCATTGAAGAGACGTGAAGAAAATGTGAGGAAGAATAGCAAGGTAGTGAAGCCGCGTCGAAGCGAGAGAGAGAAGATGGTCTTGGCAACAGAAAAATAATAGTGGCCCAATGCTGGGATACATATTAGTTGAAAGGGAACCCGCGGATTCTGCCGGATTACGAATACCATATTGCGGATACCCTATTAGCTGTCGCTGTCATCCTCGGAGCTATCCTCGGAGCTACTTGTTGACAGAGACACTGCTGCATGCTCCCTATTCTCTGCAGCGGCTGAAATTGTTGCTTTGGCGACAGCTGAATCGACACCGCTTAGGTACCTGGCAAGCCTCTCAATGGATGCTGGGAGTATAGCATACACTCCCAAGAATGTGGCGTAAGCCGGCATTCTGATCACTCCTCCATTTCCGCTATCGATCATGGATATTATTTCGCGTGCCACCTGGACCGGCTCTAATACCGGAGCCCAAAAACTATTCGGTGTTTCCAACCCTTCAAATAATGGTGTGGCGATTTGTCCAGTTTCTACCAGAATGGTTTTTATTTTCTTGGAGGCCCCCAGCACCCGTATCTCTGCATCTATAGTTCTATGTACGGCAGCCACTGCGGCTTTTGAAGCGGTATAGTCTGACAATCCAGCAGCAGTAATATGGCCTAGAACGGAGCTCACAGTGACGATCGTACCCCCTGTCCGAGAGGATAGCATTCCTGGGAGGAATGTCTTTAGTGCATGAAAATGGGAGAGAATGGTCGTTTTAATAGTTTTCTCTATCGCCTGGTCTGAGAGGAAGAGCAAGGGAAGACCATTGATAGCTGTTGCCACGCAGTTCACGAAAACCGTTGGCCTTCCTAGCTGTGACCATAATAATTTTAGTTAGTAAACGACACACAGCCAAAAAGAGAGAGAAGATACATGGTGACATACGTCCTTCACTATTTTCTTTGCCACCTCCTCAACCTCGTTCTTGCTACTCATGTCACATTTATAATATTCCAGGCTGGGGAATTCATCCCATCTTACGTATCCACCATCGTCGACTGGGTCCTTTATATCCAAGACAGCAACGCTCACCCCGCGCATTGCATATGTTTCGGCTATCGCAAGTCCAAGTCCACTAGCACCACCCGCAACTGTAATAACCTCCTTTTTAAAATCGACATTGCGCGGTAAGCCGTAGGCTAAGCGCTTATTTATATAGGATAACACGACAAATGTGCTCAGGCAAATAGCATATGCCGCAGTAATGAGAAACGAGGGATGGGAATATGGTGTGGCTTGGGCGACAAGACACAGGGGTATCAACCAAGCAATAAACGGATGAAATACTGTTTTCTTGAAGACATTGACAAGTATATCAAATGTTACGGCGGGGCGACTTGGTTTATGTGCCGATAACGGCACGCCACTTCGCTGTTTCGTAGAAGGCATTGCTGGGGTATGGAAATTATGGGAGCCTAGTCAGTACATAGAAACCACATACATATCAACAATATTTTAGCTTAATAAATGTATATTAAAGAAAATGGTAGACAATAAGTATTCTCGTTTTAAACTAGAAACGATTTGCCCATATGTCACGAAGATGTCAGACATCATAAATACATGCCGACGTCAAAACAAGCGCCGATGGTTAGTAACTGGTTAACTAGTTAGCTAACCAAGTTAGGCTTAGTGTTTGCTCCATTTCACCTTGGCTTGGAATAAAAATAAACACGGAGAAATTTCTCGTTGACCGATTTCCCCAAAGGAAAATTCATGGTTCTTGCATCCCACTACAGTCGCCTAGTCTCTCAGCAGTTAGCCCTGCCTTGCCTGGCATGCGATATCCAGCTTCTAACTGGCGTTGGTAAGAGACTTGTCGCAAACGTTGAGATTCTCCAGGCGTTAGCTGCAACTTTATCCTGCTGTTAGCAAGATATTTCACCAGCAGCCTCTTAGTGACTTATACATACATATACCTCCACCCCGATGGCGTGTATCAAGATAGCAATCCAAATTGCCATTCCGAAATTAAGCCCTATAGCTGCCGACACATTCTCATCTCCGCCATTGAAATCTGCAACGACAATCGCCTGCTGTTGGGGATTTGATCCGTCATAAAACGTCGAACAGGCCGGATACTTGCTCAAGGTCTCATTGTGGCCGAGAGTATAATCAAGTTTATCACATGGCCAAACTGCATTATACCCACCGATAGCAGTTATTATTGCGGCAGCAGCGGAAAATATGAACCTGTTAGTGATAATTGCTCCCATCTACCATATTCATATTAGCAGTGATCAGAGATGGGCGTATAGGGCGAGGGGTTGTACGTAGACAAATGACCTGATCATCCACGCCCTGTGCTGATCAATCTGGAGCTTTTTGATGTTATAATAAGCAAGTCCAATCCCAACAGTCGTCATTAGCACAAGGGTCCCTATCCCCGCTTGTATGTCCAATGTGCCGCCAAATGCCCGTCGTGCGATAACAAGAGCACCAACATTGGAGATGAGTACCAGAAGCATGATCAGATACCCAGAAATACGGTGCCACATGATAAACTTGTGCCGGATTATAGGAACAAATTGGAAGCAGACCAGGAATGACGCCGCTGCATCAATTCAAGTTAGCTTGTAATAGGACATAAACCCCGTGAGGAAATATCTAGGAGATAAGGAGCGAGCTTACGCAAAATACATCCCAGGTGAAGAATTATCCCAACATGGTACCGAGTTTGCTGGAGGTAATAGAAGCATTCACCTGGCGCAGCATTTCCTCTCTTGCAAAAATCGCCTCTAATGTTGAGGTATTGGAAGCGCGCCAGGGTAAATCCCATAAGCGCCCCAACAAGAACGAAAACTATGCCGAGATCAGCTATGGAGATATTGACTTAAAATTCGAACACTGACATAAAATGAAGTTATACCCCTTGGAAAACCCAACTGGGTGATACAACTTTCGAAAGAGCAACTTGATAGCTTCAGTCATCTTTTCAATTTTGAGTAGGGGGGGCTTGATATTGGACCTCGAATCCAACTTTGAGGATGGACTGTTTGCTCTGTAGAATATTTGTTACATTCCGCTCCATGACGTTTCTTCCCAAGCCCTTTATATTCCAATTCTCAAGTGAAGCTGAGACGAATATGAGCTACTACGTTCTTCTCTCCTACAGTTACCCCTAGACTTCTTTTGCGCCATACAAAGTACTACGTAATGGGCCAACGTATGTGTATTTAGCTTGAACGTCGGCTGACTGAAGCTGGAACTACAGAGAGCATCGTGATTCTATTTTTAGCCACAAACTCAAGGTTTAGATCGAACCTTAGATTAGCGCTTATGTCACGTGGTCTGCGTCGCGCAATAGATTTCCCAAAAAGGAATAAGTAACTTCGTACAACTCAACACCTGGCGCAATTACCACCTTCATTCATCATTGCATTATTATAAATGCAAGAAAGATGGCGCTTTATTTTACCTCGCTGCCGGCGCAAACAGGTAGTGAAAGAGGAATTTGCGTTTTTACCTGAATTGTGAAGCAAGATGCCAAAAATATCTGCGGGATGCAACACTTGCCGAAAGCGAAAGAAAGGTGTATGTACTATGAAATCACAATCCTCATACTAGGTACCTGCAAGCTGACGAAGAGTTGCAGTGTGATATGCAGCGGCCTTCATGTGGCCAGTGCAAGAAATTAGGCCTTCCATGTGGAGGTTATGGGCGGGAGCTCAAATTTATCCACACTTCCAACCAGCCATGCAAGCAAAGCGAAGTCCACGCAATCCCAGATAAAGTAGTGCCATGCTCAAATAAATTTCGAAAGAGCAGCACAGTTATCTGCAATACCACTGGACAAGCATTGACCGGTCACGTAGAGACCCTGTCAAAATCGGTTCTTGTCGGATCATGTCCCGGATTGTTTTTGAACATTTTTCTCGGAAATATTGGAAGCAGTACGGAAAATTTAAGCCAATCATGCTTTACTGGCTGGATGGTTACAGCGTCTCAGAGTAATTATGAGAACCCGATATTACGCAATGCATTGCTTGCCTTGGGCCTCGCGAGAGTTGGTAAACTATCACATGATTCAAGGATCGTGTACAAAAGCCAGGAATTCTATTCCTCTGCCTTAGTGCAATTATACCAACGCCTCAATGTCAACTCAGAATGTTTGGGTGACGAATCACTGGCAGGGATTATGTGCTTAACCCTCTATGAGGTACTACCGAAACCAATCTCGGGCTATTCGCTCTTTCATCTACTAATTATATCAACAATATAGGCTATTGAAGGTTCTCCAATGAGAGGCCTTGGCTGGGCAAGTCATACTGATGGTGCCACGCGGCTCATAAAATTACAGCCAAATTCTTCGAAATGGACGGACTTCAAGAGAAAACTGTTTCTCGGTCTGCGTTACTTTGCTGTGAGTACTATATTCCCTTGACTATAGTTCGTTGTACGCTGCTAACTCATCCTAACGGATAGGTAATACGCGCTATCGGTTCTCGACATCCATCCTTTCTTGCGGATCCCGAATGGTCGTGTTTACCTTGGCTACAAGCTGGAACTCAGCACAGCCACCAATTACTACAACTATTAGCCGCAATACCATCCATTCTCCAAGAAATCGACATGATTCGAGACGACCACTCATCCTATCTTCCGGTCAGAGTTCAAAAAGTCTCCAGGAAATGTTGTGACCTGTTGGAAAACTTAAGCATGTGGAATATTTCGTTTCAAGATGATAGAGGATTGCTACTTTGGGAAATGCCCTCTATGATCTCGATCGACAAAGGAAGGGACTTTACTAGAGAATACCCCCTATTCTCCACTTACATTCATTTCCTTGACACAGAGACTGCCCATTTGCAGATGCTTTACTGGACTGCTCAGCTGCTGATTTGCAACAACCTTTGGTTGGTATACCAGTTTGTGTCAGGACAGGAGAATAGATCCTGGCATAAATTAAATGAGCCGATACTCAACTCGCGCCTGGATGTTAGTGATGGGGTTCCTTATCGCATGCCTGAATTGCCATTATCCGCTTACGAACTACGCGCGATCGCTGTCAATGTTGCTCGGTCTCTGGAATATTTCCTTACTCCAGAATTGATGACGATCGGAGTAACTATGTTCGCTTTCCCAGTTACTGTTTCTTTGGGATATTTCCAATATTTTGACCTCCCTGAAGCAAAGTGGTTTGATTTTGTTTTTGAGCATATTCTGAATTCTTCCGGTATAGATGTAGGCGGATTCCTTGACGCTGTTGCTAACGAAAATTCACTCCGCCTGGTTAAGATTTAGATGTATGATATATTTAGATTGGTGTAAAAATATTCCTAGGAATGAACCACCCGTTATTGAATTCTTTTCTTATCGTTTCTCTTCTGGTGGTGCACCTGACGCTGACAGAGGATTGACACCAAATCAGGTGTTTGTTGATTAATAAGGTAATTTTAGTTACGAACGCTGTTGCCTAATTTCCAAACATTGACTCGCCAGCTTTTTCGCCCAAGCAACAAACGCATCATAAACCACTGGAAAGAAACTTACACAGATCTAATAGCCATTTGCCCGTCAAATCTACCTTCTCAATAAACGAAAATACACACACAGACACACAACAAAAAAAAAAAAAAAAAAAAGCTATGGCGGAATGTTCACTATCCGCGTGGAAAATTATCCCCCAATTTTGCAGTACCTCAATTCCCCGGACTATTGAATTTTACACGAAATCACTCTACTTTACACTCGGAGGAACACACCCGGATGACGATGCAAATACGGCCCCGACGTTTTGCTCAGTATTTATCGGGAAAAAGGCGGCTGCCAATATATACTTTTTTCAAACAAAGTTGTCATCTTCAAAGCCAAATGAAACAGAGGATAGAAGTGCCGGTGAAAACAACCAGGAAATATTCCACCCATCTTCGACGATGATTGCCCTGGGAACCGCGGAGCTAGACGAATACTACGGCATTCTGGTTGAGGAAGGGAAAGTCAAGATTACCGAGCCTATCGAGGACAAGCAATGGGGTTATCGACAGTTTACTTTGGAGGATCCTGACGGCAACAAGATCACCTTTTTTAAATTCTTGGAAGAGGGAAATCCTGGGTCGGAATGAAGGTATCCAATATAGCCTATGGATAGAACTTTCATCGCCTACCTCCGGGAACTGGTGTTATTCTATATCATTTTTTGGGCGGTAGAGATGGAGATTTTGTCAGGAAACCAAATTCCTGAGCTGCATTTAGCTACCTTATTGGCCAGAATTTGTAACATCACGTGACTATAGTTAAGTGGAGCTGGAGCTTGGCCATCAAACCTTAAAACTGCTTTTCGAAAATCTAAAAAAAAAAAGAGAGAGAGAGAAATTCAAGAAGCTGAGCGGAAGGAGAAGAATATTGAGAAAACATCCTCGCCATATAAGCAGAATCATGCCTCGCGAAAAGAAGAAAAGAGGCCGTCGGGCAGAAAAGTCTCAATCGAAGCGCAAAAGAGAAGATGAAGAAGGGTCCGATTCACCAAAACGACAGCGAACTACGAACGAAGACAATGATGTCCAAGCAGGAGACGACTACATTCCCCTCGTTACTCACGATACCGAAAAGGAGCAAGAACAAGGGCAGGAAGATGACACCCCTTTTTATGGGCTTCTTGACACGGAGGAGCAGGAATATTTCTCAAAAGCCAGTCAGACATTGGAGCTAAACTCTTTCGAAGACGACGACGACAAACGACTGTTCATTGAAAGCGTTTACACTGAAGCCAAAGGGAAGGAATTAAAGATTGCTTGCAGCCAGTCTTGCTCCAGACTCATGGAAAAATTGATTGCAATGTCTACTCCAGACCAGGTAAAGGCCCTGTTCGAGAAATTCTCGGGCCACTTCCTACACCTCGTTCAACATCGCTTCGCGAGTCACTGCTGCGAGTGCTTGTTCATACGCGCAGCGCCGATTGTGACGTCTGAGATGGAAAAGCCCAAAGATAAAAAGAAGGATAGGAAACAAACCACAGAAACCAATGGAGAGGATGGGGAACAGGACGAGCCTATGAATCAAAAACCTGCTATGGATTTGTTCCTAGGCGTCGTCTCAGAGCTAGAAGGGAATTGGGGGTATCTGCTCACGGAGTCATTTGCTTCGCATACGATACGGGTCTTGCTCCTTATATTGGCCGGTGAACCACTTGCTGATCATTCAAATGCGAGGGTACTTGCCAGCCGGAAAAAAGAAAATGTGGATTCTATCACGTCAACGGCTCAGGCAGAGCTAACGATCCGGGAAAGCAGACAAGTTCCTGCGGAGTTCAATAGCACTCTAAGAAAAATGATATCAGATCTGAGTGCTGGCCTGAATTCTACCTATCTTCAGGCACTTGCCACCCATCCTATTGGAAGCCCTGTTCTTCAAGTCATTCTTTCAATAGAGCTCGGGTGTATGGGGAAAGAAAAAGTTAAGGACAAATCTTCTGTTTTCCGTAGGCTTGTACCAGACGATACCCTTGAAACAAAGGAGGAGGGCGTGAATTTCCTAAACAGTCTGTTCTATGATCCAGTTGGGTCACGACTACTAGAAACGATTGTTCGAGTTGCCCCGGGAAAATTCTTCAAAACATTCTACAAAACAATTATTCGCGAAAGGATCGGCTCTTTGGCGCGAAATGAGATAGCTTCATATGTTGTTATCAAAGTACTGGAGAGGGTGAGCAGAGAAGATCTTCAATCAGCAATTGAAAGCATTCTCCCTGAAATACCTTCACTAGTCCAACGGTCAAGGCTTAATGTTATCAAAACAATAATAGACAGATCAACAGTTCGGAGTGCTGATACTACTTCATTGGCCAAGGCATTGGAATCAGCGTATGGCGAAGATGGCCTTGTTCGCCTCAAGACGATTCTAGGCGTTGAGGCAACAGACAAGGATGCTGAATCAGTGAAACCAAAGGCTGCAACTTCTGCTCAACATCTCCATGGATCGCTTTTGGCACAAGCCATGTTACAGGCACCTGGCCGGCTTGCAACAATGATACAAACCAGCTTTCTTGCTGCACCGGTCGAGATACTAATACAGATTGCGAAGAATTCAACAGCGTCTCGTGCCCTTCAAGAGGCTCTTAAGCCTTCCAAGTCCAACACTCAATTTCGTCGACAATTGTTACCTCAGTTTTACGGACAGATGTGCGATTTGTCGCTGGACAGCAGTGGCTCTCACGTTGCCGACGCGCTCTGGGATGCCACCTCTGACCTGGTATTTATCAAGCAAAGATTGGCACAGGAACTAGTGGACAACGAATCCGCCCTTCGCGACTCGTTCTTGGGTAGGGCGGTATGGAGGAACTGGTCGATGGATTTGTACAAGAGAAAACGGGGGGAATGGATGTCAAGAGCGAAGGGGCTAGACAACCCCAGAGTCTCAGCACCAACTGCCGATTCGAGCGCCGAGCCGGCGAAGAGCAAGCTCGACCTCGCCAGAGCGCGATATGCGGCAAGAGCCGAGCAACAGGAGAAGCCAGACAGCAGGGAACAAGGCCCTCGCGGCAAGAAGCAGGCCCTGTCGGCGCCGAGCGGCCTTCTGAAAGCGCAGTAAAAAGCCGCAGCGTCTATGACGTCACGCCATGTTTATCTTTACGTAATGTCGATGACAAATTTTGTTGGCTGGAACTTTACTCACGTGATACAGCAAATAGACCTATGTAGCAATCCAGGTATATATCAGATCACAGCCACATCCAACATGAAACCACCCTTCCTATGTCCTTTCGATTGTCTGAAATGAGTTCAGCGTGTCTCCAATAAGATATAATGGAGCGGCCAGAAGAAGTGCGGAAAGTGAGTCTCCCAGTGGTCTTTCCATCGTGACATCAGCTCTGGCCTTGTAATCATTTGGATAGGCATTAAGTTACCAGAATAATTAGCTAAAGGATGTCTTTTAGGTCTTAAATTCCGTCCAGGAACGCGTTGTTGGATTTGTTGAGCAGGCAGATCGCGCGTCCCAGGTTCCAGGACAGAAGAATAATGATGATTCTCGGCCAAAGATTCTGGATTTTAAGCCACCGGAAGAGCTCAAAGCAGTGTTTAGTGAAGGCTTAACAAGCTCAGGACAGGGACATGATGGGCTTGTTCGAACTGTAGATGACCTTCTCAAGTATTCCGTCAACACATGGCAGCAAGGATTTCTGGACAAACTTTACTCATCACCAAACGCTCCTGGGTTGGCCGCAGAGTTACTTCTTGGGACATTGAATGCCAATGTGCACGTCTACCAGTCGGCTCCAGCATTGACGGTCATCGAAAAAGTGACCACAAGACGATTTGCTGAGCTTTTCGGTCTTACAGGACCCAACGCCGGCGGAATCTCTGTCCAGGGAGGGTCTGCATCCAACACTACAGCAATCGTTGTAGCAAGGAACACTCTATTTCCCGATACTAAGAAGAATGGAACGGGTGACCATCGATTTGTTATATTTACCAGTGCGCATGGGCACTACAGCATTGAAAAAGCTGCGCAAATGATCGGCCTAGGAAGCAACGCGGTTCACTGTGTACCTGTCGACCGTGAAGGACGAATGATTCCACAGAAGCTTGATGAGGAGATTCAGAAAGCAAAGGATGATGGTAAAACTCCACTCTTCGTCAATGCCACTGCCGGGACTACAGTTCTAGGGACATTTGATCCATTTACGGAAATCGCGGGGATTTGCCGCAAACATAAAATCTGGTTCCACATTGATGGTGCTTGGGGAGGTGCTTTTATCTTTTCTAACCGCCAGAAACACAAGCTTGAAGGGTCGCATATGGCTGATAGTATTGCCATAAATCCTCATAAAATGCTTGGAGTACCATTGACTTGCTCGTTCCTATTGGGCGCCGATATGACTCAATTCCACGGATCAAACACGCTTCCTGCAGGATATCTATTCCATAACGATGTGTCTGATGGCTCCGAGGTATGGGATTTGGGTGATTTGACTTTACAATGCGGCCGTCGAGGTGATGCCCTGAAAATGTTCCTAAACTGGAATTACATCGGCTCATCAGGATACGAAGAACGAATTGATGCTGCAAGTGATGTCGCTGTCCATCTCTGCAACCTCATATCGGAGTCCCCGGATTTAATTCTCCTTAGTGAAAATCCACCACCATGCTTTCAAATATGTTTCTTCTATGCGCCGTTCAAACAGATGGTCCACAGTTCCGACAATGTGGCAGATGAGGCAGAACGTGGAAAACTTAACGGAGAGATTACTTCCATGATTGCCAATGATCTGATTGAACAAGGATTTATGGTTGACTATGCACCACCGGCTGCAGCCCAAGTTGAAGGAGACGGCAAATATCTCAGATGTGTCGTCAATCTTCACACTAAGAAAGAAACAGTCGAGCGACTCGTCGAAGTAGTTTTGCAATTGGGTGCCAAAGCGGTCAGGAAGCAGCGTGGACTCGAGTTGAACGGGGACTTTGTAAATTCAAACCAGGCTTCAGTACCTGGTCAGCGACCAAAGCACCCTCTTGAGATGGGCCGTGGACCTCAAGGCGCTCCGGCTGCCTCAGATTTTGTGCTTTGAAGCTTTTCTGTGATGTACCTACGAGGTATACATGGCTTTATTGTTTCCAAAAGCATCGGCATTGTTACCTTCAGTGTATATAATATTTGTGAAAAATAGAATATAAAAGGTTTGGTGAACTGAGAATCTTTGAATATAACATATGCATCATGTTTTAAGTTGTAGTTTTGGGTATATCTAACTGCGAACCTCCACTCTTCTCTCCAAAACCGATCTTGCATCAGCTTCAGTCAACGTGTCTATACAAAGCTCGGATAAAACACCTCGCGCGCTTTCATTGTTGGCAAAGAGCCTCTTTTCAGCTTCCCATAAACCAAGCGCTGTTCCAGCAGCATCACTAGTGTCTGGCGGTTGATCTTTTCCTGCTTTAATTTTCAGGTTCAGGATGAATAAACCGTCCCGTAACTTTTTCATTGTACGTGCTGCGAGTTCTTCACCAGCCTTTACACCTATAGCAGCATCTACGGTGTCGCAGATATTGGAAATATCGACAGAGAGCTGTGCCGCGCCGGAAGTAGAGAAAGAGTTCCGCATCAGTATGTTATCCCAAATGTACGTCTGGATAGCGAGTAGGACGTGGTTAGCAACGCGGCGTCTTGGGGCAATAGCTAGCGTTCGGGAGAGAAACGAAAAGTCAGCAGTGAGAAGCCGTAGGGTTTGCACAAGATCTACTGAGGGCGTGGTAGGAGTGCCAGGGTCATCAGAAGACGAGCGCAGAGAAGCCCAAGTAGATACCTGATTATACGGCCGTAGGGAAGCCTGAACGTTCGAAGCTATTGTAGATTGGATTATAGATTCAGATCGCATTCGAAGGCGGCGGTATGCTGCAGCCGTCTCATCGAATAGAGCACCTTCCGCTGCATCGCTGGGGTGATCATGGTTGTTATTGGTGACCGACGAGGAGGTTCGTGCTGCAATCTCTGACACTGATAGTGCGCCGGCCACCGGCTTTCCAGTCTGGCCTTGCCTTGCTACCCGGTCCTGGAGCTCATACCAAAGTTCAAGGAAGAAAACGTCATCTCCCCAGTCCTGCATCTTCTTCTCAAGATATTCGGCAGATCCAAATATCCTGCATAGTCTCTCTAGGCCAGAAACTCCATCTAGATTAGGTTGGCCGGCTGAGGAACCCTGTACCGTGCGCCCTATGGCGGATGTCATAGCAAGGTATGCTTCTAGACCAGAATGTAGCCTTCCGTGAAATAAGTCGAAGATTGTGATTTGGATATCGATTAGGAATCGAAGCTTCTGACTAAAAGACGACAATGGTCGGTAAAGCTCCGTGACATTCTCCAGAAGATCATTAACTCGGAGAGCTGCCTTTGTCGGCTTGGTTGCCATGGGTGCTACTCCATCATAATCAATTTCACCGCCATCTTCGGCATCAATGATACTTTGGTATCGTGCCAGGGCGAAATTCTTCTCTACCTGAAGCCATTCAGAGAACCAACTCTCTTTTGTTAATATCTCCCAGGTTATTCCCTTCCATGCATTTTCTTCCATTGCATTCGATGGATAAGACCAGGAAGATTTAAGTTCATTATCAAAATTCATCAATTCATGAATTAAATGGCTGAAAGCTTGAGGGTGCTTGGATACTGTCGGCAGTAGACTTGATGCTTTTTGCCGTACCATTGGCAAAAGGGAGGATATAAACGACGAGACGGCATCTGAGTATAGCGACCGGAGCATTGGAGCGCCATTAAGTGCTCTTCTGTTCAATATTGGTTGCAAATATGCGGAAAAGAACTCAGCATGAGTGTTGATTAAATCCAATACATGGGACATGAAGTATTCTGGCTTGGGGTGGGTTAATAAAAAATCAACTCCATTGTATTGTGGGAAGAAGAGAATACCTTGTCTAGCCTATTTGTAGGTCTGTCACCACTGAAGTGATACTTAAACCGAAGCTCTAGGGGTCGAGACATGACTTCTAGGGGAAGTAGAATCGGCAACTCAGATTGGTCTTCGGGGCCTTTTTTAATTGTGACGCTCGCAAAATCACTATATGGGTCAGGCTTTTAGCATATTCTCACGTTAAAGGACTGATTTATATACTCACGGTTCCTGAAACTCTAGGAGTAGATCACACCAACGCATCCATTCATCGATCACTGATTCCGTTGGAAGTTCCTTCATGGGCCACTTCATTTTATCCAGAATATTCTGTAATTTATCTGTATATTCCACACGAATGGAGTCTTTTAAACTCCCCGAGACTTTCGTCACATAGTCAAGGAGGTACGGAGTTGCCCCTTCAACAGTATCCTGGCCAGTTGATATAGACGTCTCGATGGAACGAAGCTGCGCATATGATCGTAAGGCATCATGCGGGGATGATTTCATGGTCTTCATCGCATCCTTACTACAAGCACGTTAACCTTGTTTCTTAGCATAATGAGAACATGAGTACATACTTCAGTTGATCAACGGAGCTTAACAGCTCCAAATAGCCTTGAGACACATCGAGTCTCTGTAATCTAGCAATGCTATCTTCAAATTTGCGAACCGCCTCATCGCTGTGCTCCGATTGCGTCACAACCAGTAAGCGACGGTCTATATCAGCCTGGTGTTGTTTGAATGCCTCTGCCTCTTTTCGAACCGCCTCCGCATGCTCATTCGAAGCCTTCGTGGCATTTTTAAGGATCTCCTCCGCTTCCCGTAGCTAGACAATGCAACGATCTTAGTCCAGTAAATACTTCGATGGATGTAAGGGGGCCAGTTACCTGTTGTCTCTGGATATCTTGCTGCTCTTGGAGGCTCTGAAGAAGGGTATCCAAACTCTGTAGGTCTTCGATGCTCTGGATCTTATCATTCACGAAATCAACAAGTCTTGTCGCATCTTCCGCTGATAAGTTACCTGCCATATTTCCTATACAGGCGGATTCCTACGCCAGAGAGTAAAGCAGCAGGCTGGTTGATAGTTAGTTATCGCTTGGTGTTATCTTTTAGTTACTTGCGGAGGCACAAAACCCGTGGTCTCGTCACTCGGTCTTGGCATCAACAACACCTCAGTTAACTATCTTCCAATGATCAACACGATTTGCTAAACATCATAATTCTGGCCTCTCCATCAGGCATCACTCACCTGGGAGATCCAAGGCCAGAATGCAAAAGCATTTATAATGGCCGGTCCTTTAAAAAAGAAGAGAAAGGTTGATTCGACTAGGGTGCCGCAGAATACCCGGAGCATTGCTTCATATTTTCGTGCAGGGAATAAAGCAACGTCACAGCAAATCACTAGCACAGAGCATGATCAGCTTACGGACGAGCAGCTGGCCCGGAAGCTTCAGACAGAATGGAATAAAAAAAGCCAGGATGAATCTGAATCTTCCACGCCTGGTCATAGAGCAACGGAAAACCTTCTGGAAGAAAAACTGCGAGCGTCTGATGAAGTAGCCGATGCTAGCTCAAGCAGCGACAAAGGCAGCTTACCTGATACTCTAGCTCTTACACCCGGAAAAGAGAATAAGCCCAAGGGAATACTATCTCTGCAGAGCTCTTCAACAGCTGAGGATACCATATCATTTTCATTGCCTTTTGATCTTAGTCCGTTGGAATTCGATCCGCATGAGCAAAAGGAAAAACTCCAGGCACACTGGGATGCGGAAGGGGGGAAAGCATCGTATGCAATTTTAGCTCGTGCCTTTTCTCTTGTCAATGGCACACAGAGTAGGATCAAAATAGTCGATATTCTTGTGAACCTTCTTAGGCTTATAATCGTTGGTGACCCACAGAGCCTTCTTCCCGCAGTGTGGTTGGCAACAAATGCATTTGCTCCGCCATACGTACCAATTGAACTGGGGCTAGGAGGGTCTGCCATATCCAAAGCATTGAAAAGAGCATATGGTTTGGATAACCACGGTCTCAAATCACTTTACAATAAACATGGCGATGCTGGCGATGTGGCTTTTGAAGCAAAGAAAAAGCAATCATTTACACTGAGACGACCAAAGCCGCTAACCATCAGAAGTGTATACGATGCGCTGATGAAAATTGCGAACAGCAAAGGCACAGGCAGTCAGGAGACAAAGCAAAGAATCGTCGAGAAATTGCTCCAAGACACGCGAGGTGCAGAGGAGAGTCGATACATCGTCCGTACACTTGTTCAACATCTCCGGATTGGAGCTGTTAAAACGACTATTTTGATTGCACTTGCAAGAGCGTTTCTCTACTCAAAGCCACCGGCAGCCACATTTCCCATACGTTCGCGCGCAGAGCTCATGAGGTTGAGCAAAGAGGAGTTATCAAGTATCTACTCCCAGGCGGAAGAGACTATCAAAGCTTGCTATGCCCGGCATCCTAACTACAACATGATTGTTCCATGTTTATTGGAAAATGGTGTTTCTGCTGAACTTCTTACGAAATGCGGCATCACATTACACGTTCCTTTATTACCCATGTTGGGTAGTATTACACGGGATCTTCCGCAAATGTTGACCAGGCTACATGGCCGATCCTTTACCTGCGAGTTCAAATATGATGGGCAAAGGGCACAGGTACACTGCGATGCAGCGGGGAAGGTCTCCATTTTCTCTCGCCATTTAGAACTCATGACGGATAAATACCCGGACTTAGTGTCTCTTGTCCCTCAGATTCGATCTGGAGCTGTTTCTAGCTTCATTATGGAAGGTGAAGTGGTTGCTGTTAATAATGAAACCGGAGAATTGCTTCCTTTTCAAACACTTACGAATCGGGCGAAGAAAAATGTGGAAATAGGTAGTATCAAAGTCAATGTCTGTTTATTCTCGTTTGACTTGATGTACCTGAATGGGCAGCCGCTGCTTGACAGAACATTCCGAGAAAGACGAGAACTTCTTAGGAGTTTGTTCGTTGAGGTTCCAAATCAATTTACATGGGTAAAGAGTATAGATGCATTCCCATCTGATTCAGACACTGTTCTGAACTTTTTCAATGATGCCCTTCAAGTAAAATGCGAGGGCATAATGGTTAAAGTTCTGGATGATAAGCCAGTTGACTGCCTGTTGCAGGTAGAAGATACCGCCACAGCTCTTCCTGATGGTGAATTACTTCCACCCGAAGAGGATCAAAAACAAGAGTCTACAGATACTGCTGAGAAGCAGCGAGGGAACCGGAAACGGCCGCTGCTGTCAACATACGAGCCTGACAAACGCCTCGAATCTTGGCTTAAAGTGAAGAAGGATTATAGTGCTTCTTCGGAGACCTTAGACTTGATTCCCATTGCGGCATGGCATGGCCAAGGTCGAAAGGCCAAATGGTGGTCTCCGATACTTCTTGCTGTGCGAAATCCTGAAACCGGCTCTCTCGAGGCAGTTACCAAGTGTATGTCCGGTTTCACTGATAAGTTTTATGAAGCGAATAAGGAGAAGTATGCGGAAGGCAGCGACAATATAATCTCACGCCCAAGCTATGTGGAGTACTGTGGCGAGCCGGAGGTTTGGTTTCAACCTCAGGAGGTGTGGGAGATGGCCTTTGCAGATATCACGCTGAGTCCTACGTATACTGCAGCCATAGGACTGGTTAGTGATGAACGCGGCCTGAGCCTTCGATTCCCAAGGTTCTTGAGAGTGAGAGAGGACAAGAGCATTGATGAAGCTAGCACATCCGACTATCTTGCCCATCTTTGGGACAAGCAGGCGGAGAGAGCAAAGGTGGCGGAGCCTCGAGCTGAAGATTGAACTTGACACATTCCTTGACGAGAGACGGGCCATATAGACCTATCACTATACAAGCACTTTTCCACACGGGCAACGCACCCACTGGAAGCGAGGGTGGAATGTTGAATGTTGATATTGGCGTATATAGATCTAGCACCTATTACGTCATACAGAGGGCCAAACAAGCGAGGTCGTGAATATAGCAACAACCAGTCCGTTGCATAAAGATAGGGATTGCCACTAGACCGTCATTAGTCTCCGTAGAGCATGCGGGATAAATGGCATCTCGATGGCAGATTTCTGTATACCCCGATTTCTCCAGGAAAAAACACACTACTGTCAACAATAAGTTAGACCATACTTTGAAAACAACAAACAAAAAAATATGCCTTTGCCACGGAGAGCTTTGATTGCTGTTACCAGCGCCAACCCTCACTTCTACCCCGACGGGAAGAAGACGGGGTTGTTCTTCTCTGAGGCCCTACACCCGTTTGATGAGCTGCAGTCAGCCGGGTTCCATATCGACATTGCCTCGGAGACCGGGACCTTTGCCTTTGACGAGCATTCGTTGGAGAAGAAATTTCTAAACAAAGAGGACGAGGAGGTGTTGCACAATACCAACGACCCATTCAACAAGAAGCTGAACAGCCAGATGTTCAAGGCCGGAGACCTGTCTCCGCATGAGTACGGTCTGTTCTTCGCTGCCGGAGGCCATGGGGCATGCTATGATTTCCCTCACGCAAAGCACCTACAGGCCATTGCCTCGGACGTTTACAACCGCGGCGGCGTTGTGGCAGCCGTGTGTCACGGTCCAGCTATACTGGCCGGCGTCAAGAACCCTGAAGAAGAGCCAGTGGTGAAAGACAAGACGGTCACTGGCTTCACTACTGAGGGTGAGCTCGAGCTCAAAATGATTGATCAGATGAGACAGGACAAGGTGCATACGATTGAGGACTGTCTGGCGCCGACGGGAGCTCACTACGAAGCTCCTTCCAGTGCATTTGACAACTTTGAGAAAGTTGACGGGCGGATTGTTACGGGGGCGAATCCTGCCAGTGCAAGGGACACGGCGAGAGATGCTATAAAAGTGTTTGACGGGCTGGATTAATTGGGGAAGGAAAGCATTCAACCAAAAAGTTTGATTTCTGCTGCTGGGATTTATCTCCTCTCACTGAGTTGGACTTTTTATTTCGGTTGTATATCTACCTATTCGAAAAGTGTATCACTACTGTGAGCTAGCATGCCTCTCTGCAATATAGTTCTTTGATGCACAGCCCCTTTTTGGCCATTGGGGTTATCCTGGCATATATCAATAAAGCGCTTCTATGAAGACTACACCTAATTAGATTGATATATAACACTGGTTAAGTTGATTCTAGTCGAATATATATATATCTACGTAAAAACCAAGTGAATTTACCGTTCACCTTTTTCATCTCATGGTACTATAAGAAGGGTAAGACTACGCAGAGAACTCCCAGTCCTCGGGGAACCAACCAAACTGGATGTCAGGGTTACCCTTGAAGATATCATCGTAGTGCGAGATGGTAGTCTCAGGACGTTCCTTTTGCAGGTAGTATGCATGGACAATCTCCTTGATCTTGGGATGGGACCACATACGTTTCATCCACTCGAGAGCTTCCGGGGTAGCACCGGTGAGAGGCAGATTATAAGATCGGAAACGCTGAAGCACGAAACAGTCAGACGTAATTACCACTGCAATAATAGAAACAAAAAGTAGTGGAACAAAAAGGGAGGAGGGGGCCAACCCACCCATAAGACCGGCCAGAAGAAGGCATCCGCAATGCCGAACTTCCCAAACAAGAAGCCCTCGTCTTCGCCCTCCTGGCCGAGCTCGGCAAGCCTGGCGTGCGTGAGCCGTCTGCTCTGGCCCCAGAGCTTCAGACAGTTCCCCACCTCTCTGGCCGCGCCGTCATACAGAGGTATGGCGCCGGTGTACTTTGCCAGAGCATTGGTGGGGTAAGAAGCCCGTAGCACGGTGCAGAGGCCAGAGTGCATCTGTGCGACTGCAGTGCGGGCCTGGGCGCGCAATGCAGCGTCCTTGGGCCAGAGGGGCAGATCGGGGTATGCTTCAGCGAGGTATTCGCATATGGCGAGGGAGTCGTTTATTTGGAACTGGGGTCCCAGAGCAGGCACTTCTAGAGCGGGCACCAGGCCGGATTTCGATAGTTTGGTGGACTAGAGTAACGTGTAAGAGAGGGGGCGGGGGTATTATACTGCTGTACGCTGTGAACGATGGGATGTAGAGGGTACCTCTGGGAGAGAAAGCAGGACGGACTGGTGCGGGATGCGGTAGTAGTCGAGCAGCACAGCTACACGAGCAGTCCAGCCTGGGAGAAAGAAGAAGGTTAGGCCTAGGTTTGGCGGACTAGTAGACGGACTATTTGATGTTGCTGTTTTTTGCAAATTTCATTTCATATTCTGGGGGGGGGGGGGGAAGAGAAACGCACTGGAGTAGCGGGTGTAGGCTCCAATGAGCTTGAGCTGGCTCGGATCGTGGTCCTTGTCCTTGTCCTGGTTCTGGTTCTGGTGCTGCATCATGACGGTGGTGTTTGTTGGATGTGTTGGATAGTGTGTCTCTGTGCAAGCGCGGGAGATGGAGCTGTGCGACGTCGAGGAGAGCTCAACTCCGGCTCGAGGAGGGTGGTACGCCCTTTATATACTAATAGAAAAATAACCCGGGCATGAGTCAGTCCTGTGCTCCCCCACGATTTGATCGATGGAAGGACTCCGTCCCGCTTACTCTGATCGATATATTCTCCGCGCCAGTCGATGGAGCCCACATGGATAACTAGCAGGAGAGCCTAAGTGCCGCGGCCGGCCAATGGTGTGTGCTGCCGGGGTGGCCCATCTCGTATCGAAAGCGATGCTGACAAACTCGATCTCGACCTCGGAGTTCGTCGTCACATCATCGTCTCTGCTTTCTTCGATTCCAATTGCAATATCAGAACTCTTCGATGACTTCAACTTGTTTTTATCTTCTTTTTCTTCTTTTTCTTTTTATCTTCGAGATTCAAGAGTTGACGATGACGTAATGCGATTGTATTATATAATACAGATGACTAATCTCTTACATAAGCTACACGAACCTGACGCGTCGACGCGCCTGACGCGATAATGAGATTTAGAGTTTGACGCGAAAACAAGGAAAAAAGAAGAAAAAAAAGAAAAAAAGAAAAAGAATTTTGATAGAGAAAGAGAGAAAGAGAAAGAGACGACGATGAAGTCACGAAGTCATTATTGAAAAGGAAGAGAAAGAGAGAAGTCGATAAAGTATTCAGTATTCAGTCATGGCTGGTCAGGGACAGGCTACAGGCTACAGGTTACATACATACAGGCTAGGCAGGCAGGGTACTCCAGACAAGGATAACAAAGTGACCGGAGTGTTGGGGAAGAGAAGTAAGATAAGGCGACGGGGATATTAAGTATGTTGAGCAGATGGCAGAGAGTAAGAGGTAGATGGGGAAGAAGTAGAAGTGCAAAGGGGAAAAGGTGGAAAGGTGTTGTACAGCAAGACAAGGAAGGAAAAAAGAGAATAATAACCTGACAAACAAGACCGCCGAGTGTATCTGGTTCATGTATCTGCATCACAAGTAGATCGAACGGAAGGACGTAAGAGGGAAAAAAGAGGAAAAGGAGTAAAAAGGAAGAGAACGAAAGAAAACGATTTATATGGGCAACTCCTCGCCGAGCTGTAGTGCTAGACCGGCCGCAGCAGACGAAGCAGGGCCAGCATGAGTAGAAGTGTTGTGACGCTTGGTCGAGCCTCTGACGGGGCTGGGGGGCGCGAGGGCGTCAAAGTTGAGTCTCTTGCGGACGTCCTTGGTGGTGCGAGGGGTGCGAGGAGTGCGCGAGACAGCTCCCCCGGACGCAGAGGCAGTAGTATTAGTAGTATTAGTAGTAGTAGTAGCGGCAGCGGCGGTGGCGGTGGTGAGCGGGGTGCGAGAGGTGCCGTTGGAGGCAGACCATCCTCGCTGGGCCGGGCTGGGAGTGACGTTGACAAAGTCTGCAAAGTTGAAGGGCTGGGAGGGCGTGGGCGTGGAGAGCAGCTGGTAGGGAGCGGCGTGCTGGGTTGGCGGCGTCGAGGGGAGGAAGTCGTTGCCGCTAGCAGTGGTTGTAGTAATAGTAGTTGTTGTCGTTGCTGTCGTTGTAGTGGCAGGCTTGCCGTTGATGGTTGCTGGAGTGGGCGAGTTGGCGAGGTAGAGGAGCAGGTCTGCGCCGGAGCCTGAAGCTGCAGCGTCGTCGTCTGCGTGGGTGAAGCGGCTGCGTCGAGGAGGCGGCGTGCATGGCTGTTGTTGTTGTTGGTGGTGGTCTTCGTCTTCTTCGTGAAGATGATGATGAAGATGATGACGCCGGGATGATAGCTGGGGATCGATGTCGGTGCTGTCGATGTCGGGATCCGGGATGGTGTCTGTCTCGGAGACGAAGGAGGGCATGGCCTGGTAGGTCCGTCGCTGGTGCTGCCGTCTGAGCAAGGGGGAGGAGTGCGGTGCAGCGGAGGCACTGCTGCCGCCGTTGAAGGAGAGCCGGGGCATCTTGGGGACGGTCTGACGGCGGCGTCCCGAGTCTCCTCTCTCTGCTGCTGCGAGTGCAATGGCCGGATCACAGCGCCGTCTCTTGCGCGAGCTGCCGCCCGAGGTCATGCACTGCATCGTCTTGATGTCGAAGGTGGCGGCATGTCTGCTGCGGGCGGACCGGGGCAGCTCCCTGCTCAGCATCGGGGAGCGGACGGGCGAGGAGGTGAAGGGCGTCGAGTAGCGGGCGTCTGCCGAGTCCGACGAGGAGCAGTCGGAGCCTGTCTCGCTGGGGAAGCCATTGTGCTGGCCGTAGAGGTGTTGTTGCTGTTGCTGCTGCTGCTGCTGCTGCTGCTGGCTCTGGGGGCGGCTGTCGGTGTCTGAGTCGCTGTCTCTGCGGAGGCCGTGAAGACGCTCGTAGCGGACTTTGGCGAGTCCCAGCCGGTCCTGGAGATTCAGCGAGACCTGTACAACTGTTAGCCACTGAAGAAGAAGAGAATAAGAAGAAGAAGAAGAAGAAGAAACGAGGCCTACCTGGGCGATGTCAATCTTGTGGATGGCCTTCTTTGCAGAGGCGGAGGGCGAGGTGATGGACATCCCGGCTCGTAATCCAGCGTCCAAGTCGACCAACGCCGTCTTCTCTCTCCAATAATATCCTCTTCCTCTTCCTCTCTGTATCCTGTATCCTATTCTGTATCCTGCCTGTTGTCTCCTGTTCTGTATTTGCTGTCTGCTGTCTGCTGTCTGGAGTCTCTGTCTCTGTCTGGAGTCTGTCTGCAGAGTTTTCTGGCGTATCGCGGAGTCAGGGCGCGCCAACAGCCAGCAAGAACAACTGCAGCAAATTGACTGTCTATCTTTCTCTTCTGCTGTCTCTCTGCTGTCTCTCTGCTGTCCAGCTATCAGTCTGCTTCTCTGCTGTCTGTCTGTGGAGTCTGTCTGGCTGTGCTGGCAAAGGAAGAAGAGGAAGAAGAAAAGACAAGCAAAGAAGGCCAGCCACTAAGTAAATAGTCAACCAACCACTAAGCAGCCGCAGCCAGGACAGGAACAGAAGCCAAAGCGATGCAGGGACAGGGACATCTCTATTCTCTTCTTCTCTATTACTTTTCTATCTCTATTATCTTTACTCTATCTACTTTGCTGTCAATTGACCGAGTATCAATCAATTGAGTATCAACTCCATCTCGACTACGGACTAAGTATTATACTATTGGCATTCATTGCCACTGAGATAACTAGCCAGAGAGCTGCGTAATGCCGGCCTGAAGTCTTCCGCATCTTCCAGCGACGGCCTGGCTGATTGGCCCTGCTGCTGCCCTGCTTGTCCCTTTTTCTTATTTGCCTGAAAAAAATTGCTGGACATGCTGAGCATGCTGAAGATGCCGCCCCAGCAGGCTGCCGTCCCAGCCAATCTGCAGCATCGCTGGCTGCCGCTGCTGGGTCCCTCGATGGAGCTCGCTGGCGTTGCTTTTGGCCGGTGAAACAGGATCGCCAGAGTCTTATCGTGACAGTAGCTGAAGCAGTCAAGCCGATGAGGTAGATGAGGCAGAAGCTGTAACTAGTTGTAGAAGCCGATGAAGCCGTAGAAGCCGTAGAAGCCGTCGTAGTTTTAAGACTTAGCTGGGCCTTTAACGGAGGCCAACTGGGATGCTGCCATCTTTGCCCTCGGGGGCCAAACTGGATCTCTCCAAGGCCTTCTTCTTCTTCCTGCCTGGCTCTTCTCTTGTCTTCTCCGTCTCTGCGTCTATCTCTCTGGCTGTCTCTCTGTATCTCCGTCTCTCTGGCTGTATCTTTTGGCTGCTGTTTCTTCTTCCTGCCGCCACCCTCAGGCAAAGCAAGCATGTCCCAGCAGCTCTTCTCCTTTTGCTGCCCTCTGCTGCCCCTGTCTCCATCCTGATCATCCTCTCTCTCTGTCTCTCTGTCTCTTCTCTCTGTCTCTGTCTTTTGTCCCCTTTCTGCTGTCTTTTCTGTGTGAAAAAGTCCCGATGGTTGAGCCTGCCAGTCGACGCAGGCCAGTGAAGACGTCCTCCTCTTCTTCCCTTATTCCTTTTATATAAATAAATATATAAACAATAACATAGAAGAAGAAGAAGAAGAAGAAGAGAAGAAGAAAGACATCTAGCTGCTGGTTGCACTGCAGGCTTCACACCAGAAAGACTCTTCTTCCCCTTCTTGCCTGCCTGCTTCCTCCCAGCCGGCTCCCTCGCGTGTCCTCAGCCATCGAAGACTCCAGACTCCAGCCAGACTCCAGACACCAGACATCAGAGCATCGAGAGCATCGTCAGTCGAAGTCGCCAGCCAAAGGACTCGCGATGGCCTCTGGCTCTGCTTCAGGCGCTGCCTCTGCCTCTGGCTCTGTCGCTGGCGAGAAGAAGAGCTCCGGCATGGGCTTCTTCAGGGAGCTTCGCCGGCGCTCCAAGGCTGGGTTTCACTCGAAGCCGGCAGCATCGCGAGCGCCCACCGTCCCCGTCCCCGTCTCCGTCCACGTCCACGCCTCGCCCTCTCCCTCGCTTCCCTCCAGCAGCGCCGGCGACTCCCTCGTCAATGGCAGCAACAGTCCCGGCGGCATCCTCGTCAATGGCAACGGCAACATCAATGGCAATGGCAATATCAATGGCAATATCAATGGCATCTCAAAGACGTCGACCGCGGACTCGTCTGTCCACAGCAGCAGCGGGAACACCCCTCCGCCGTCCATCAAGCCCTCGCTGCTCTCCTCCGGCCATCTTCCCTATCAGTCCAAGTCTGAAGGATGGCTGCCGCCGCCGCCGCAGCGCACAGTGCCCATCTCCTCGCAGTCGTGTCGAAACAGCATGCTCGTACGTATACTTATTGTGATGGTGATAGTGGTGATGGTAGGCTAACTAACAAGTCCAGGGCGTCAATCCAAGCGCCGCCAGCTCGACCAAGAACATCGCTCCCAGCTCGCCGCTCGCCCCCCGAGTGCTCTCGATATCCGACAACTCCTGGGTCAGTAGTGAGACAACCGGAAAGAGAAGAGAAAAGATGCTAATGGGTGTTGCTCTAGGTCAACCAGAAGCTGCTGCTGCTGTACGGGACGATAGGCGACCGAGACCCCCAGAAGACGCCCCTGGATGGCAGCATCGCCGTCCACCACCTCCAGGACGCCTCCTTTCCCGCCATCTCCTGGCCGGTCCGCGCCTCTTGCTTCAAGGCCCTCGTCCACCTCGTCCCGGGGCCCAACCGGGTCCGTCTCGAGTACGTCTCGCCCAAGCAGGCCCCCTCGGCGGCGCCCCATACCGCCTGGATCAACGTCAACTACCTCCCGCTGGCCAACTCGCCGCCGCTGCAGCTCGCCATCCTGCTCGGCTCAGACTCCCAGGCACACTACGACGCCGCGCCCGCCAGCAGCAAGAAGGCCGCCAACGACCTCGACCATGCCGTCCGCAAGTTCCGGATGGCCGCCTATCTCTGGCAGGCCTTCACCGGCGAGCAGATGTACAGACACAACTTTGGCCGCAGATGCTTCCACTTCGAGGAAGAGTGGCAGACCGGCAGCCTCAGCGGGCGAGACCCCGAGAACAGCATCATGCGCAGCGAGGCAAAGGTCCATATCATCCGCTGCGACCAGACCGTCCAGCAGCTGAGAGCTCTCAGCAGTGCATCTTCTTCTAATGCTACCTCTACTTCTACCGAAGACGGCCTGTTCAAGGTCGCCATGGACGCTGTGCGCAAGTACTTTGACCTGCGTCCCGGAGAGCAGCGCTACGTCTCGGCCCTCTTGCTCGACACCCACTGGGACAGCAACACCAAGTCCCTGACGGCTCATGCGGCCCTGGGATCCTCGCAGTCCGCCGACCTCAAGCTCGCCCTGTTCGGCTCCCACGGCCTGCACAGCTACCCGGCCTGTCTCCAGGATATCGTCCCTTGCTTCTCAGACTGCGCCCGCACAGACACCGCCTACGTTGCCAACCACAACAACGAGTGCGGCAGCAACTGGGAGACCGCCAGCTCCTCGCTCGGCCGCCACCTGCACGAGGTCGGCCACCTCTTCGGCTGTACCGACTCTGACTCGGGAATCATGGGCTCCGACTACCTGCGTTTCAACCGGACCTTCATGACCTGGGAGCCCTACTCGACTCGCACCAAGGAACAGGGCGCCCGTCTGCTCCTCCAGCCAGACGAATGCCGCTGGAACCGTCTCGACGCCCTCAGATTCCGCTTCCACCCTTGCTTCAAGATGCCCAACGACCCCAGCTGTCCCTCCTCTGACATCATCCAGCTCTGGTCCGTCGACGGCGAGAAGATGCTCGCCACCTCCAGTGCCGGCATTGCCTTTATCGAGATCTTCACTGCCTCACAGACTGATACCCCTGCTGCCTTTATCGAGTACGTCGATTCCAGCGCTGGCAACAGCGGCATTCCAAAGGAAGCCAGCTTCACAGAGGCCGAGATCAGAGCCCAGCTGCCCGACAGCGCCAGAAAGTCCAAGCTCATCCGTCTACGCATCTACTCGGGCTGTCTCTCCATTCTCAACGTCTCAGACCTCTCCGTTCTGACTGCCAGCAAGGCCAAGGACTGGTGCGTCAAGATACCCACCGTCACCGGCAGTGAACAGGTAAACTACCTTCCATACATGCCGGCAGACACTCTGCAGGGCTTTCTAGAGAAACAGGACGTCTTCTTCGAGACAAACAAGCCTGTCACTACGATAAGAGTGTATTCAACGGAGAAACCCGGCTCGGATCCTGGCGGTTCGTCCAAGGCAACAATTGCAGGCATTGAGTTCCGCTATGAAGACAGCAGCAGCCAGCTCTTTGGCTCCAGGGGGCAGGCCATGATTGACGACGAATACACAATTGGTAAGTTCTTCTCTTCTTCTTCTCTCTACTTCTTCCCTCTACTTCTCTCTACTTTGATTATATCTAACTGCTTAGAATCACGGCGAGGTGAAATGATGATGGGCTTCCATCTCCGCGCCGACAAAGACGGAGTACACGGCATTGGGATTCTTACTAGTTTCGGTAGACGGTCTGGCGTTTATGGATGTTCCAAGGCAACTCAGGGGTATGTCCATACCCCCCCTACTCCTACCTCGGTTTGTCAATACTAATTTCTCCAGTGGTACTCTGGTCACCCCCAAGGGTTTCAGAATAACGGGAGTCACAGGCACCGTAGGCACAGGCATGAACCCCGGCATCATGGGATTTTCTCTTATCATTGCGCGATAGACGGGAGGGAGGCATTCGTCTGCATCTAGATCATTCTCAACCCACTCTCTACTACTTACATCACCGAGCATCAACAATGCCAATCCCTGCACCCCGTACATACCAACGGATTTTTCTGGTACGCTAAGAAAGGTTCATGCAGCGCTATGGCTACACTACGCTGCGCCGCCTCTACCATCGAACCCATGGATCGGAGCAGCATCCACAACTCAACCCTTGCATATTTGATCTGATTCGACTTTCACCACTACATTCTTCTGTTTTTCTTTTTTTTTTACACTTTTCACTGGCACCGACCCTCAGGCCCAGCATCAAGCTAGCCAGCCTACTTTTTCCCCCCCAATCCTCCTAACCTCCCCCTCCCCCTTTTTTTGCAATCAATCTCTTCTATCTACATCCGGAAACGCGAGCACGTCCTCCATCCTTCTTATCCACTAACACTAATCCCTCCCCGCCCTCCTCGAGGCTCGTGCACCGTACCAAACATTTCATGATCGCTGGAGGCTCAACTCACGACGACCAGACAAGACAAGCAGCTAACAACGTCCAGACTTGAGCTCCTTTTCTTTTTTTCTCTCCCTCTTCTGCTTCTCTTTGTTTTCCTTGCTGCCTCCTGTTCACTTTCATTCGACGTGCAATGAGCGGGGGAGGGGAAGGGGGCGGAGGAGGTTACATCAATTACACCTTTACACGGTCTATCTATCTCGATCACCGATCTCAAACCGTGGATTGGCTGCACGACCCAGATTCGTACCCCCCTCTCGCTCTGCTGCGTTACTACTCCCCATTCCACGCTTTTACTCTACTTCCTTTACTCGGTACATCGTCGGCTTTTTTCCCTTTGGTTCATTTACAATTCCCCCGGTGCATAAGCATGAGCATGAGCATGAGCCCGGCTCGGCTGGGCTCCTTTCGTCCCGCCACCCCTTTTCTCATTTCTCATTTCGCCCGTCTCGACCTGCAACCTCCCGTCCGCTCTAATCAAATATCACACCAGGCAACAATCCAGCCACACAGCATTAATTCCAAATTCCAAATTCCAAAATCCAATAAAAAAAAACTTCAAAATTAAAACGGCATCTAGGGAGGGGGGAATACCAGGGAGATGGGTAGGCTTTGTGGTAAATTATGGGAGGACTAGAAACTAATTTCTGTTCCTTTTTTTTTGTCCCTCCTTTCTCCCGCTTCTGCCTCCTTCTACTTCTCTTCTGTTTACACAATATGGGAGCATGTGGTTTGTTCTGTTCTTGTTACCTACCAACCTACTTACACTCTGTTCTACTTTACTTCTTACTACTTCGCTTCTGCTCTCTGCCGTTCCTAGTTGCATTACATACTTACTTACACCCCTGGACGGTACCAAACAAAAATACTATGATCAAATGACTTTTGCCTTTTACTATCTGCCCCTGTCTTTCGCCTCCTATACGGCTCTCGTCTCGTCCCGTCTTGTCTCGTCTCTCCTTGCCTGATGTGTGTCTGCTCTACACGTCTACCTGTCTGCCCCTGCCTGTCGACATGTCTACCACGCCAGCCGTCTGCCGACCAGACTTGATCGACCTTTGACTTGATCTCCAGCATCGGCGTCTAGTTCTTATCCCGCAGCAGCAGCGTTGTGATATCACTCACATCAGCAGAAGCAAAAAAAAGGGGGAGGGGGTGCGAATCCCTTCCTCCCTCTCTCTCCCTCTCCCCCTGCCTGTGTATGTGTATGTGCGTATATGATCAGCGGACTCTCCCTAACCACGGTACGTGCTCTGCGCTCTACCAAACGGACGAATCTCTACCGAACGATCTCAAAGTACTTATCTTATGTACATAACTTACAACCATCTATCCAGCCAGCCAGATATCCAGCCAGCCAGCCAGGTAGATTAGCAGGCGAGGGCGCAAAGCAGCAACATTTTATGCTTTGGACGAGCGCTACCTTTTGCCCCTTTTTGAGGCTCCGTGCGAAAGCTACAGCCAGTCATCGACCTCCAACACTTTAACTATCTATCATTCTATTTTACTCTTTCTTGGGTCCTTATTTTCAGTTCGTCGATTAACCGATCACGCTAAAATGCGTACGTACTTAACCTACCTACCTGCCTACCTACCTTACCTAGACCGGCGTGATCAATGATGCTGCTGGAGCTGGTGATACCGTGATCTGTGCCGGGCCATGGCTCTGGAGCTGGATCTCTGGTCCCTCACCCTCCAGACTGAGATCAAATGAGATCGGCCTGCGTTTTATGGTTTGTGGGTTTGGGGGATCGGGGTATTAATTTGCTCTGTTTTGTTTTGTTTTTCTTTCGCATCTGTTCAGAAGGCCGGCCGGCCGGCCGGCTGGCTGGGGTGGATGGGTGGATGGGTGTACAGATGTCGATATAGTTCGCACGTAGTTGTACTATCTGCTTCAAACTTCGCTCCCTCCAGCAAGCAGGACAAGCATCGATGCCAGCCCGAGAGAGCACTTGTAAACTAGTTAACTAGTTATCTGGAGGGAGGGAGGCACTCTCACATGCAGTAGTGGCTGATCTGGGTATCTATCAGGTGGTGGCACGGCTCGCACCGCCCAATGCCTGCGCCACAGGTCACTAGACACTCGAATGACTATAGGGGCAGATCCGTTACTCCCTCTCCTCTCTTGGCTGCTGGCTGGTTTGATAGATGCGAGCACTGATTTGCGGATGGCTGTGTGGGGAGGCAAGCAGCTAAGGGGAGATCGGGGATCGAGAGTGCATCATGCAGCCTGCCTGCAGGACCAAGTGCCTCGGATGCTGTGTTCCCTTTCCCTGTTTAAGGATGCAGTCGACATAGCAACTCATTATTCAACACATTCTGCAGACCTCTTTTACTTCTGCTAGTTTCGCTGGTGGCTACTTGTAGGGTACGTAGTTGGGGAGAGGGGCCTGTTGGATACGTCAGGTACTCCGTACGCTATTGCTTATGATGAGATGCCATACGCTGCATAACTACTGCATATACATTTTGAGACGGCCTTCCCGAGAGCCGGAGAGCCATGTCATGCCCACTGTGCGTGGGGGGCTCCCAAGGGAGGGCAGGTAGCCGGCAGCAAACGGGGGAATAGGAAAAGCAGAAGCGAGCTCGAGCCTGAGTCGACGCATGGGAGTGGTCAAATCCATCTTTTTTTTTTTCTGACATTGGGTAGTTTTTGATAGTGGTCAGTTGGACCCTGTATGGAGAACCCCTGAGTCAGGTAATGTCTATAACTATACGCCGGTGGGACAGACAGACAGGCATGGGATACCACAGCAGCATCAGCAAGAGCAACAACAAGAGAGACGGTCTGTTCATGCCGAAAGCCTAGATTGGGCTTCTGCTGTTTCTTTTGCCTGCTTCCTTTTCTACGTGTTCCCTCATTATTGTTTCTTTCCGTCCGTCGGCTTCAAACTCTCGCGCCTTGTTTTAACGTCAAAAAACAACCTTCCGGGAAGGATATCCAGAGTGTCTCTAGGGTAGACAGAGAAAAAAAGAAGAAGAAGAAGAAAAGCAGTTAATACTGCACCCTATATCTTTCTATTTCTTTTTTTTTTTTTTTTCTTTGGATGCTCCATACTCGTCCTCCCAGGTTCCAGGTATCCGTGTAGAGCGTTGGAACCATATCCCAAAATTTAGGTACCGGCGACGGGAATGGTGCTTTGATGGCAGCGACAGAGCCAGGTCCCTGGACACAGGTCCCAATAGCATATCTGTTTCCCCGCAGAAAAGACTTCCTTTTCCTTTTTCTTTGTTGCGTTTTCAATTCTTCCCATTGTTGAAACCCCCAATATTCCCTGCTCCATCTCCCCCCAAATCCAAATACCGGGAGGGTGGGCCTTATCCGCTCGTCTTGCAGCTCTCCCGGGAAGCGAGCAGATGAAATTGCAATTCAATCGGACTTGGGTCAGGGAATTTAGCCAGTAGTCGATGGGGTATGAGAAACACTCCAGTCCTCGACCGATACGAAATGGCAGCAGGGAAAAGAAGGTGAGAAAGTGCAAAAAAGTAAGACAAGAAGAAATGGAGAGTTTATCCGCTGAATCTGTTAACCTTCTTCTGCTTCTTTTTTTGGGCTCCATAATATAGTTCTATCGATCGCGGAGTTTGTACGGAGGAGTATCTGTGAGGTATCCTGCTCGTGCGGGCCAGGTGCAACCTCTACCCGACCAATACCCTTAAATCTCAGGGGGCTGAACAGATATCCCTATTCGTTTCTTGGTTGTGGCGAGGGAGGTGAAGGCTGATTCTAACTGGCTGGGACGATCAACCGAGCATGCAAAATATCCTCTGCCTCTGCCACAAGTCTTTCTTTCTTTTTCCCCTTCTTTGCTCTCTCTCTCTCTCTCTCTCTCTACTACTCCTACC